AAGTGAGTTAGAAGCGAACATCCGAGGTAAGAACCAACGATAAAAAAATCAAGTTTCTGAATAAACAAATTCGTTAGGTTGCGAATCGCATAAGCTTTTGATTTGATATTGCAGGTAGCAAATTTAGGCTGGTGGAAATGTGGGTTGGACATTCATATGCAATCATTATGGATTCTAGAAAACTTGGATATTTCCCTTTCAACTGGATCAGGAATTATGACGAAGGAATTCGTAGCCTAGATCCATGTGTTAATGACAATCTTTCCCACTCACAGGCTTCAACATCAAGAAGTAGTCAATGGAAAATATTATGTGGGACTGGCTAGCAGCAACATCAATAACACATCCCATTCAGAAGAATGATAGCATGATAATATCCCATTTGGAATGTCATCATGCAATGTATCTGTGTAACAAAATAAGGTTTTATTGAACATACAATCAATATTAGGATTTGTTAAAGGGAGTGTTATGATGTGTTAAAGCCAAAAAGCAACTCCGCAATCGCAGGTGATGGATTTGAAGCCATGGCTTCAAAAATCCAATAGGAGTGGATGAAGGTGAAGCCAGCATTGGCTCAACATCGGCTTAACGTATCACCATGTAATTTCTCAGTATTCTCGTCTTCGCCTTTTTGGGTTTCTTTGCTATTCGCATTCATAATGACGACCTCTTGTGAACTGTTCCAAATCTAGATGTTTTCTCCTCCTTCCCCTCCGATTTATACACACAGGTTGGACCAAACACATGGATATGTCACATCTAGATCACTCTCATGTGCCTCATGTATGATCTACTCACCCTTCGCATTCAGTTTTGGAGCTACTAACTTTGAAATCATCAACCATAATATCAATTCTGTATCAATGAGAAGTTAGGAGGGCCTTAAAGTCAAGTGTGCTCATGTACTAGGTTTGTGTTCTACTTGAGATTTTTATCATCATCTCTCTCGTCGGATTCCACAAGTTATGTGCATTAGGATTGTCATGCATTTTGTCAACCATCTGATGAGATTACTATAGAATCTATATATGTGTTGTTTGATTGCTTGATGTTGATATTGTTTGATGTCCACTCCTTTTGTGACCAACCGTCTACACTGGACTTTTATATAAAAGTTTGATGTAATAAAAGGTAATGTAAGGAAATCTGATTCCAGGGTGGCCATAAAACGCCTACCGAACATCGACAAGTGATGTATAATGTTATCAGCTAAATATTATACTTTTGAGAACATCATATATGTTTATGTTTCCATTCTAGATAAATTCATAAGTTAAAAAATCTATTAAATTTTATTTCCATACATTTATTTGAATGAATTTTTTGGAAAAAATATAATGATTTAAAATTTTGTAAGTAAAATGTAGATTTAATGAGATAGATATTTCAATATCTATAGATACAAATCTATTTAATGTCTATTTACAAATAATATTCAAATTCAGATATTGAGAAAATCAAATGAAATTTTTTATCATTAAAAAATTCAAACTGTAAAGAATAAAATATTCAATATCTAAATATTTTTTAAATAATCAATTAAATTTCAATTTTATTTGATTCTAAATATTTCTATCCTCTATCAATCTAAGCATTTATTTTATATTTTAAAATAATTTCGGTATAAAAATTCAATTTTTAAACATTAATATATAAAAATGTATCAAAATTTTCAATATAGGAAGACAAAAAATATAAAAAAATATAAAAAATTCATTTTCAATATATTCTTATTTATAATAATCATAAATAAAATTATTTTAAAATATGATTATTTCATTTGAAATTAAAAAATGATCCACATTCTAAGTCTATCTTTCTAAATTTTCTAGTTTACATTATATTATTGAAATAATCTGTATGTATTATGAAAAAATCGGGGTATTTCATATATAATATGATTATTGTATCACGATGAAAACTTAACCATTAAGTAGTAGGTATAAAAAACATCACATGTATAATATTATTTTTTATATTAAATAAATTATTTATGGTATAAAATTCCAGGTTTTTTCATTAATATTTTATTAGATTATAAGGAAATTACATTTCGTTACAGATTTCACTAACATCTAATTTTGATTATGTGGCTTATTATATTGCTTTGCATAGAAAGTTAGCTACTGCAATCAAAATATGTGATGCAACAATATATGTTATTTGGTTTGAATAGTACAAATATTATATGGATATGCTTCAGTATGACGCTGTTGATGCATGACGTTTACAAAATTTGCCTTTTCAAATCAGTATATATAAGATATACGAAATTTCTCAGAAACTGAAGACGTCCATTTATTAATCACTCAATTTCTGCTTTTCTACAGCAGAAAAGTTTGTGGATATAAATTGGTCACTTATTGTTCATAATATATTTTACATATAGGAATCAACCAAAGCTATTTGAAGTACTAACAACAAGAGTAAATAAAAATGAAAAATAAACATTTTAACCTGATCAATTCTTGTGGGTATGAATAAATAAATATCACTCGATAGTCTAAATTCTATATGAATTATGAATCATACAGAAAAGAAAGTCATATTTCCTGCACTTTACAACTAGTTATAGAAAAAAAAATTCAAAATTTTTTGGTATAAATAAGAAACAATTTAAACTGTAATAAACTAGAAGTACATCTATTTTAAGATTCTCGTGAAGGTGACACGTTATTTCACATAGAATATCTGTTGTTGGGTAAAAATCCCAATATGTTTATTTGGTCTAACAGAAGTGCAGTATTGGGTAGCAGTATTCGGTAAGCAAGTTCCGGAGTGATCTCTTGGTGTGGCGGTGGAAGGCTGCACGATAACAGTAAACATCTGGTCTTGTACCTTAAAAATGCAAAACTACTCGGGGTATGTCTGCAGATTACATCTCATTGACAGCAGAGATGTGAATGATAAAGGCCAAAAAGTTGTGCACCTGAGCATAAATTAAATGTAAGCACCTGGGCAACAGTCCAAGCATCCAATGGAACATCAAGAGAAAAGTGCAGAGTGACAGAAAGCCGATGCAGTCATCCGCCGTAGCGAGCGAAAGTCATTAGAGGCGAGGCAGTAAATCACACAAAATCACAAGGAAAGGTGCTTGGGCATTCTACACATCCGTTGCACAACTTCCCTCCTTAAAAGTTTCTAGACGAAGTTATCCCAAAAGCCAAGCGATGAAAATTTTTTATAACCCATGGCGGGTCTGTAGATTGCTCGTGGGAAAAGAATAGCCGAAGAATACTTTCGTCCCATAGACACATGCCTGTGGCAATAACAACACCTTGGAGAATTTGGTGCGTTGCTCATTTACCAAATGTATTAAAAATGAAGGCAATAAAGCACTCGGTTGTCTACGTTTCAACTAAAAAAATAGATTTAATTTCATATCCATGGCAAGTTCGCGATTGAACATCTGGATGAATCGGTTCTGATACCGAACCTCTATTTTAACATCAAGCGTTCACAATGAGAGCAAATCTAAGTGGAATGTGCTCGATGCATTAGTTCCGAAGGCATGCAGGGAATATATCTTGTGGCATGATTTTCCTCCTGGTTTAGATATTCACATGAATAAAATTGGACTGTGGAAGGTTCTGAAGAAAGAGGACAAATACACACAGTGAAGGGCCATGGCGTGATTTTCTGTTAAGTTACATCATGTGTGGGAGGCAGAAACGTGAGGGTTGTTGACGGATCTGAATTGGGAATCCAGGCCACAGCCAGTACACTAAATCGGGTCGGAAATGATGACAAACTTTGTTGCGGATTTTTAACCATACCGTAGTTGTTGAAGGGCCCTGCAGCCTCACGCTCGTCTTTACGAGTGCCAATTATAAATGCAAATAATGGGCCAGATCTGGGGCACGCCAGTCTGCCATGAGTTCATCCGGAGGAATTTGTACCATCGATACGGGGAATCCGACGTTTGATTTTAATTCAGAGCCTCGATGCGCGAACCCAAGTTTGGGCAGGGCAGGGCAGGGCAGTCCGGAATGGAATGAACCTGGGGCGACGGGGTACTTTTGCTGGGGCCGGGCAGGCGAGAGAGGGCGAAGCTCGGAATTCGCTGCGAGATCGTCGAGCGCGGGCAAGCGTCGGATGAGGGATCGGACGCGCGGAGCCAGGGGTAGATCGCGAACTCGGGCCTGGGGGCTTTACCTGAGGTCAGGCCGCAAGAGAATGAAATGGGGACAGGGGGCCAGAGCTGGGCAATGGGAGGCGGCCGCGTGGCAGGCGGTTTTGATGTGCGGGAGGGGAGTTAGAGAACAGAGCACAGGGAAGAAGGGGACAGGCAGGGCGATCGATGATGATGGGCAGCGGGGCCGGGCGGGGCGCGGGTGGCCCGCGGCGGGCGCGCCTGTGCATCTTTGCCCGAAGGTTTGGCGCGGCGGGCGAGGGGGAGGGGCTTGGCTGGGCTGGGCTGGGCTGGGCTGGCTTGGCTTGGCTCTCCCGTGCGCGAGAGACGAGGAGCGGAAGAAGGAGCGACGAACGACGAGGAGGAGGAGGAGGAGGAGGAGCGAGGCGTGGGGCTAGAGCAGACGGAGTGGAGCAGGAGGAGGGGACGAAGGGTGGAGGAGGAGGAGGAGGAGCACTGGTGCGTCTGTCGGAGAGCATCTGTCTGTCATCGTCGTAGTCGTCGCTGGTGGTGGTGGTGCTGCTCCTGCTGCTGCTCGCAGGGTGGGGAGGGAAGGGAAGGGAAGGGAAGGGACCGAGGACCGGGGTGGCAAGGGAGGGAGGGAGTGTGTGATGTGGGAGTTGTGATTTACGTGTGGTGCGGTTGATCGATCGATCGAGTTTATTTTGGTTCCTGCGCATTGAAGTTGGGAGGAGGGGGGGAGGGAGGCAGGGTCGGCAGGGAGGTCAGGCCTGGTGGTGGGATCGCAGCGAGCGAGGGAGCGAGGAGGGGATCGGTTCGGGATTTGGAGTTTGGGGGCCGGATTTTGCGAATTGTTTTATGGAGGGCAGGGGAGGGAGGTAGGGAGGGGCGGGGAGCTTTGGTTGGGGCTGGCGGGGTGGGGTGGTGGTGAGTTTTGCGGCGGGAAGGGGTGGAGGATTTGGGAGGGTTTTGAGAGAAAGCGCTCTTGAGCTGTTTCTAGAAGGCAAAGAAGAAGGTGGAGAGGAAACGGACAGACGGACAAAAGTTAGAGAGGGCGGACGGGCGAGGGAGAGAGGGAGGGAGGGAGGGAGACAGAGCGAGAGAGCGAGAGAGAAGGAGGGAGGGGAGGGGAGGGGGAGGCTCCGGCAGCGCAGAGAGGGAGGGGAGGGAGGAGAGGAGAGCGAGGAGGAGGAGGAGGAAGAGGGGCCGTGGAAGTGGTGGTGATTCTGGTGAAGAAGGGCCGCGCTTCTTCAGGCAGGACAGCACAGCTTCTGCGTAGAAAGAGGGTGACTTTCGTGACGGGCCGCAAGAGGAGGTGCTTGCTGCTAGACGAAGTGCTGTGTTTTGTTCGCTCCCTGGAGATCGAGGTCGAGGAGGCAGGCCGATTTTGGTAGGGTTGGCGAGTGGAGCTGATCAGAGCGGAGACGGAGTAAGAAAGCCGTGCCTCAACTTTGTTCTTGGTAGGGGAGTTCGTGTACCTTGTTGCGACGAGTGATATTGTGCCCATTGCATCGGAGAGGTCGCCAGCGGTTTCTGAGGCCGAGTGTACGACGGTGGTTCTTAGTGACTCCCTAGTATTCATCATCGCCGGAGTCTGCTAGAGGATTGCTCGCTGCCAGATCCTTTGTTGTGGAGACAGGGATACCCGAACGTAAAACTGGAAGACATGGCAGCACCTAATTCTTCTCTTAGGAAACCCGTGTTCATTAAGGTAGATCAACTTCGTCCCGGGACTGCGGGACACACTCTGACGGTGAAAGTCGTGAGTTCGAAGCTCGTCCTTCAGAAGGCCCGCCCTGATGGGAATCAAGTTCGTCATGTGCGCATTGCAGAGTGTATCGTCGGCGACGACACTGGTGTGATTGTCTTCACAGCCAGGAACGAACAAGGTATTTTTCTCCTGGAGTCACGATCTCCCGTTCTCAGGTGCCTCCGCGGACGTGATCGTCTGTGGTGTTGTGTTATTTTTGATGACCTAATGACGGTGATGCAGATTCATTGCATCCGTATTTTTTCTCTCACCAAGATGCACTCGCATTCGTAGATTCGCAGTGTCGTTGTGTCTTGTATCCTCGATCCGGTCTCCTCTCTGCCCAACAATGTCTGCACTTGTGTTTCACGCTCTCCTGCGGGCGGACTTCTGTGCAGTCATTCTGCATACCATGCTCGCTTACTATGCGATGAATGCCCGAATTAAGAAGCGATCTTCGAACGCTCCAAGTCTAAAGATCGGGGTCTTTTGTGAGATTCCGTACAAGGAGAAATACTCACCGTGAATTCCTCGATGCTTGATTTTCCAGTGGACCTAATGAAGGAAGGAGTAACAGTCGTTTTGCGGAACGCTAAAATCGACATGTTCAAGGGGTCAATGCGGCTGGCCGTGGACAAGTGGGGCAGGGTTGAAGTTACGGACCCGGCCAATTATGTAGTTAAGGAGGATAACAATCTGTCTCTCGTCGAATACGAGCTCGTCAACGTCGTAGATGAATAGTCTTTTGAGCAGATAAAGATTTCGGGGAATGTTCAATCGATACCCCTGGGATTAATCGCTCGCGATCAGACGATATAGAAGAGGCGGCAAGCAGAGACCCGAGCAGTGCAGGCATCAGACCGAACAGACAACATTTCTTTCCTCCCCCGATATTGTGAGGTGCCGAGAAACCCTGGCCAACTCCAGCTTTTTTGAGTTTCCGACAGCGATCCTACAAATCATTTGCTTCTCACCGGAACACCTACCTCCAGTGTTTTTCTAATGTGCTAAGACTCCGCTGAAGACCGTTGTTAGCAGGAAGTGGGAGTATGGCATTTCTATAAGCAGCTTATCTTTGCCAGACGATAGATAGGAATTGGTGCCTGTAGTTCCAAGACCTACGCTATCCTGGTTCTTTTGCACTACAAAGGGATGTGCGGCGTGCTGGCAATCTTTCTTCCAGACCACGATAGCATATCTGGCAACTAGCATGTGGTCGGTTTCACGGAAGGCTTTGAATGGGAGCTCAAAGCTTGAAACTACAGTTTTACTAACCTCGGCAAGAATCATCTCAATCATCTCTCCTGCTTATTATCGATGGAGATGCCGTCAATCTATTCACTCAGGAAAGACAATTTAGGCACAGTGAGTCTTGTGGCCCCTATAGAGTGCGCGTCTGGAGTGTGTTGCTCTTTGTGTTGCTCAGGAGAGTTGTTTGTACAAATTTTCACCCTGATGCTCTTGAGCCTACTGGGCATGTAACTGGTCTTGCCTGTCCTTATTGGGTGATGGTGTTATCATCGTATCTGCGCAGTTCGACTCTCTCTGGTCTTCATTCGTGGCAGTTGTTTAAGCCACCATGGCATGTACTGGATTTTGAATGATATATTAATATACATATGCTGTAACCTTTCATCATCGATCTCGATTTCTTTGCATTTTGTTTATCTATGGAGCAAGGCCTTGTGATTTGATGGGTTTAGGAAGTCTTTCATTTTCTCGGCTGTAGATGCGAGTTTTCCATGAGGTGGTGTTTGTCGCGTCGCCGAGTCGTGCTTTGTTCCCCACGGACTAGACTGGCCTAGTCCTTTGGAGGTAGTTTCTAGCATGTATGAGAGTGGGCTGAACTGGAATGTTCATCTATTTTGTCTAGGCCCTGCTGAAATTCCGTAGTACGCGCTGGTGTATGTTTCCTTGTCTCGATCAATAATTACAGTCCGGAGAACGGAATGTGTTGGCCAGTCCAACAAATGTATGGCTGTACGTTCGTGTTTAAGACACGGGCCGTGGTCAATCATAGCAAATTTGTCATGATTGTTGACTTCGTTATGCCGTATCTTCGACCCGCCGTGACTTTTTTTTCGTATTTACGAGTCTACCGCGGAGGCACGTCCCTACCGTCACCTATCCGGAGATTTTGAAACTTGTGTAGCCGTGGGACAGCTTTGAATATTGCGGACGAGCGATATACCCTCTCGCTAAACATCATAAGGGCGTTCACCTAGAACTCGGACTAGATTGTCTGTTGCCACAGGTAGTGCACCGGAGAATGTACAGTTTCTATCAACAGCGTAACGAACTCTTGACGTTAGCCTCCTCTGAATCCACAAAACGCTGCTTTAGGTCGGATCTTGGGTGCTTGGTGGATAGTTTTACGTCGCCCAGACGCGGATCCGTCCACATGTGGACGATGATGGAGAGTTGGAGGGAGGTGACGCTTACGGGCCCAACGCTAACGAGACTGGATGTAAATAGCCTGCCTCGCATGTCCACGGCTTTAGTTGTGGCTATCTTGCTTGGAGATGGCCAAACTATGGCCAACAATTGATTCATTTCATGCACGTCGGACTCCAGTTTGTTACACGTGCTGCAGACACGCTGTGAACGTAGGAGACCTCACGCCATCGCTTCGATCTCTTCTGTGCTGAACATCTGAGTGGCCGTCCGGTCACGAGCCGGAGACAGCAGATTTAATGATTTGGACTCAAGTGGGGGTGTATAAGAAGTCTCGAAACGCCCACGAGTCAATCAGCCGCTGTCATATAGCCTGCTGGAAGCCAAAGCTGAGCTGAAAGCTAGCGGAAGCGAGGACGGAAACTGTGCATTTTGTGCACTACTCTGCCTGCCCACCGACACTTTTCGTACTTCTGCTGCGCTGCCTGGCGGGGGAGATTCAGAGTGCCCCTAATTGGAGCGGAGCGCGAGAAAAGATTTGTAAGGCTCTGGGCCAGTACTATCCATGAGCGCAGGCAACGCCGATTAGCCACGGTGGTGGTGGGGGGCCCCCATTTTGACTTCTTCCCCAATTGCAGGAGCCCGTGCACTGTCTCTGCAGACAACTCTCCTGTTATTCTTCGTCCCCTTCAGTCTGCCCGCTACTTCTTCTGACCGAGCCCTCGTCGACGAACGATTTCGCCTGCTGACTGGCTCGCGCTCCTCCCTCCATACTTGCTTGCCTCGGCTCGTCTCGCTCGTCTGCGAGTTTTACTTGATCGTAGACCCTCGCCTGATCCAGAACCAGTGAAGAATGTTAGATAAGTAATCCATTCGCTGGCATGATGTCACAAGCCTAGCACCGTGCCTGTCGTCCAGTGGCCGCGTGCCCTAGAGTGAGTCAATGGATTCCTGCAGCCCGCTCCGTTCCAACTCAGGCCCAGCATGGAAAGGCAGCCCGATTTTGCGAAACAGTGAAATTCACAAGACATCACCTCGCCATCCAGCCTGTGTACCCGATCTGCGCTCCCCTCCCCCGGTCCTCGGGTGGGGCCCTCTCCCCTCGAGGCGCAACTCAGCTCATGGTAGTCAGTCAGCGCGACGAGCTTTGGACAAAAACCCATGTCTGGCTCGGCTCTGGCTCGGCTCTTCTAACCATCGATCTATCAGCAAGGGGACAGTGAGCACACTCGGCACCTGTTCGAATGCAGTGACCTTTGAGCTTTGTCATGGCGGTTAATACGAAAAGCAGCGCCAACGGAGCAGGGACTCACGGAGGGATCCGGCTCCGGTAAATTGCGTGCACCCTGTTGTACAATCGTGAAGGCCTGGCGCTGGCGCTGGTGCTGGTGCTGGAGCTGGAGCTGGAGCTGCTGTCCTGCAGGCCACGTCGAGGACGCATCACGCTTTTTCCTCCGGTACAAAGTACAGTCTAGGCCAGTCTAGACATGGGGAGCAGCCAGAGCAAGCAGAGGACTAGAGCAGCCTCGCCTCGTTTTGCTTCGGCCTCGCGAAAGCAGCAGAATCTGGTGGATCACATGCAGATAATTGCTGCTCGCGACAGGCTGCGCATCAATTTGAACCACGTATGTGGCCGAGTGCCGGCACTGGCAGATGATCAAAGGCCGAACCATGGGAGCTTGTGTTCCCTCGGCTCTCGGTCAGCTTTCCCCGTGTTGCCTCTCCGATGCACTGACCGACCGACCGGCCCAGCAGCAGCAGCAGCAGCAGTAGCATTCCTCTGGGAGCTCTCCCCCCGCCCTCCCCTCCGGCTGTTGGAGTTCTTCTGGGGGATGCCTTTTGCGCGACGTGAAGGAAAAGGCGCCAGTGCGGCTGGTCCATTGGCCGGGACTCTGCTCCGCGCGAGGGCTTTGCATGTACATGCACAGCGGGCGAACTGTTGTCGTGGTTGGATCTTGGAAAAGTCGTGCCTTTCTTGGCCGAGAAGATGGGCTACGCCCTCGAGGAAGCGATGCCATGATCCAATTACAAGCCAGCCGGTTTACTGTGGGTTCATTCATTCAGGCCTCTTCTCGCACACTTCCTGTTCCTTTCCGACCACCCCGTGTGAATTATGCCCACCCCCCCCTCCCCTCCCCTTGCAGCCATCTCAGGCCGGTTGCGCGCTGCTGGCTCGCTCCGTTTGGTCGCTGGAGAATATTTCCAGAGCCCATGCCCTCCCTCAGCTTTGCAACCCCGGCCCGAGATGTGGTACTTGCCCAGACTGACCAGATTAAGGCAACCGAGCTCGGCTCTGCATGCAATGTCCTTAAAACACTTCAACTGCATACTTCACCCGAGACCGGATGCAGTCCACATGGGGCTGCCTTCAGGTCTCAGGGACGTTTCTGGACAGAGATAATCAAATGTCAATCATCCCCATTCTGCGTTGCCTGATCGTCCTGGAGCTGCCGCTGTTGCAGTAAGCTTTGCTTCCAGTGATCAACAGTTTGTGTAGTTGTCCAAAGTTCAGATTGTAGCTATTTAGCTCTAGACCAGTTTTGTTGGAGCCACTATAGACTGTAGCCCATCGAGTGAGTGTCTTCCACCGCTGCTGCGAGCGATCTGCACTTCACTGCACTGCTCTGCTCTGCTTTGTGTTTTCCTTTTCTGGGTCTTCCTCCTCTTCTCCAGCTTTTGATCTACCCTTATGATGACTACACTACACCCCCATAGCATATACGACTACAGAGCAGGGGCCCTACTGTCGTCGCTGGACAGAGCTCGACAGTGCTGCTCATCTGCAGCGTACGCGCATATATTCTCGGCTCGAGGGCCTCTATACCCGCCCTCACTCTGCCCGACTACTCTACTGTAACTTACGTGTATCCCTTCCCCTCCATCCCTCCCTTGAGATGCCGTGCCTGAGAACTGCACAGTGAGTGATGCAAACGTGGAGATTTGACCCTCGGCTTTCTTCTTCGGATATGCGCGTTACGGTGGAGGAGAAAGATTTAGAACACGGGTCCTGACATGCAAGAACCTTTGAGGCTGTAAAGCATACAGCTTTCATGGAGCGATGATGCCTCTTTCATGTCCTTCGTCCTTTCAGTGGGGCTTATTGTCCTTTGCACTTCAATCTCTTGTGCAGTCGTAGTAAAACCACGCTTCGTCATTAGTCGATCTGAAGGAATGTTCACCGTTCTCTCTGTTTTTTCTTGCCTCCACTCATTCGTATATAGCTCACGAGAAACATAGGTTTGCTGGTACGAACGGATAAGATAAAATGAAGGCAGTAAGCCCCGTTAGGGAGTGCTAACATTTTGCTAGCAGCCATTAACTCTGTCCCTCTTTTTCCGGTTTAATAGTATAAGTTTGTTCTCTGGAAGTAGTTGCTCTACCACCCTTTCTCTTGAGATGTCCATCAGATGCCAGAGATGTCTCCGGGCTCGCTGGTGCGTGTTCTGTCTCTGTTTGTTTGTCTGTCTGTCTATTTGTCATGCTACTGTATATCTACTCTCGCTGCTGGATGGTGGCAACAAATCAAGTGCTAGACCTCGCAGACCTCTAGCAGCTTGGACAATTTTATACGATGCAGCTTGTACCACTCGACTCTTCAGAGAATGTTCATTAATCCCTAGTCTGAAAGGCAAGTGTGGGCTCTGCACCCCAACCACACATTGTACGCGGTAGACCCCCTGAAGAGCACGGCAGGACAAAACTTCCTTTATACGTATTCTATACATAATGTATAGATACTTCATGGAATGTTCATCGAATCCCAAGGTAAGGCATTCGATGAACATCATAATGTACGACGTTATTTCTCAGCCTCTGACAAGAAGCTCCGTGGGTACGTAACCTTGATCGAACTGTGATCGTATCCCGTTGTCCTGGACTGCCATTCGTGGGGTCCTCATCGTTCCCCCCGGCCAATCAACAGGCAGGCCTTCCTCCATACCCAGACTTCACTAGTTCACATTCACGAACAGTAGAGTTCAGTAGAGTTATGCGTTGATATTTACGCCAGCGTGACAGATGAACTTGGTCTCTCCCATAATCCTATGTCTTGACCAGTACGTTACTTCACCATGACCGCTCGGTGCCAGTCAATTGAATTTGGTAAGCAGGTCGCTGCAGATCGTCTGCAGGGTTCAGCGAGTGTTAGCGATGGTTAAGTGGAACATTGCGTCACTCGTCACTCCAGACAGCGCTCGCTTCCGTGCTCCACCAACCTCCATTTCACATGTAAAGGGCCAAACCTGCATCGAAACAGGGTTGTGGCAGCGAAGAGTTCGGTGGCTCAGTGTTCTCCTTGCTTCACATGTAATGTGGTTTTGAAATCTCTGATGCAGTATAATAAGTGAAGAGAAATAATGGTTCGATAACTTCTGATGCCCACAGCTTGTTCAGCTTGTGTGGGTGATAGGTAGAACACGTAGTAAGAGAGGTCAGTCGTTTGACTTCCGAGGACGATCCCGTGGCTAATTCTCCATCGTGACAAGCCATCGGTACCTTGGGGACGTTGAACCATTTTCGAGGACAAGAGCTAAGCCCATAAGTTTGCTTGATCGGCCCACTCTCGAGATCTCGCTCATTGGAGAATCCAACCACAGTGACTACCTACTGACAGCCGGTGAGGTACAGGTCGAGCAAGTTTCTCAAACAATCGGACTGTCTATGTCCGTGATTGTCCTGGGGCTGCTGGAGTCCGAGATCAGTAGGGTAACAAGATTTATTTGCGTATCTTGCATCATGAAAGTGGATGATATGCCTATATCCCGTTTTCGCTCCACGTGGAGGGTCCTAAACAAAGTGGAAACATTCTTGCGCAATGCGAGACTCGCATTTTCTGCTCGAGCGAGATAGTGGTACCTGTGTCCGGGCATGATGCACGGTGATGCGTCCTATCGGGGTGGCCAAAATCGGATCACATGACCCGATGACCGAGGACTTTCTTCCCACTCATGATCGCGGTTCGAAACGCAGATTTGCACAAAATGGACAAGGCATAATGACTCCGTTAGTGTGTGACCCACCACTTTGAAAAATGATGCCATTCTTCCCCTACTCTTCCGCAACAACTTTCGCTGCTTCCCTTCGAGGACGTTTGCCAAGTCCTAGCATGATGCAAACGAAATCCTTCGTACATGTAACCAACAGTGATCAACTTTGTAAGAAGCTCTCCAGCGGCGCGTGGTAGCAGTGTCGGGACTCTGGCAGGTAGCTCCTTGAAAGGCAAGGGAGGTGGGGAGGAGGGGACGGGGGCGGCACGATCTCTGAGCAATGCACCCAAGTTACTGCTGGGACTTGCTTGTTGGAAACAATGCGGAGCTTGCGAGCGAGGTCCAGTTAGAGGTTGCCCTTCCATGAGACAGACCCTGGAGGTTTCCTTATACCCCACGGTAGAGCCCATCTTAAAGCTTAATGCTTAATGCATGTTCTTTCATGAGTAAAAGGTAGATGTGGAAGAGGTGATGCTCTCGAACATGAGTGCTTTCTGATCTCGTCCCTGGCACCCTGAAAGATCAACAACACATAACCGTATAAATGTGTAAAGTGCCATACGGACGATGTATACCAGTAGAAGTTAGAGATCGAAACGTATGAGCGAGTAAGAAAGAGTGGGCCTGAAATCCCGTCCCATCCCATCTACTTTGAAGTTTGTGTCCTTAGTCTTCTAGAGCTAGACGGAGTAGACATGCTATTACGGGAAGGTGCGAGCTACCTGAAAAAAAATCTAAACGTGGAAAGAATCTCGGACCTTATGGAGCACTCTGTACTCAGTGATCAGGATAAATTCATAGAACAGTACCATTGGAAAATGACACTTTTCCTTTTTCCTGGTCTGTGGAACATATCACTGACCACCAGACTATCGTTTTTCTATGGGAATAAGAAATGGGCCAGAGTACGTTCGTTTTCATCTCTTACATCACAAAGCATTCTCCACAAGTGACTGCTAAATATCCTAGTAGTCTTATGTGCAGGCTTTTGAATGGAAGTTAGGCCTATGCAATCTTCTCATTTCTCGAGGTCCTTTCAACGGGGAACAACGGTGTCCCTTCAATCAAGGCAAAGACACCTCAGTTGTACTGGTACATGATTGGATATCCCAAATTCGAAAGTTAAGGAGCTGCTTTAAGAGCACTTTGAGCTCAAGAGTATGAGGGCTTTGCCTCACGCTAGCATATTCCAGCTATCGTGAGGCAAAGCCCTCATGCAAGCTGAACTTCTTTCGGTTCCAAAGTATCAATACCCAACCCCTATGCCAAGCCAAACGGACAACAAATACGGATATAGTCGGATGAGAGAGCACGGAGATCTTGAATGAACTGGTCTTTGGGAGCCCCCTTTTGGAGGAGGAAGCCCAAACGGGACACAAACGAAAAGATGTGGTACGAGGTTTGGATCCATGCACGAACTTTCGGCTCAACCTAACAATAGCATCCGAGGAACTCAAGCATGGATTGTACCGAAGACTATGGAAGACACTCCAGGTACCGTGGGTGTGTGTGTGGTCCCACATATGGTGGACCGAGTCAACCGCATTTTGGCAACCGCACGACATCGTACAAGCAACATTTTTATGGCCTGTTCGAAGGTATACGAGGGAAAGTACTGTAGGTGTCGGCACAGAATCGTTTCCTTGCGGTTCAAACTCAGAGGCAGATGACAAAAGTTCCATACTCTTGTGCTTGCTCCCCACCAGATCGATTGGGCTACTAATAATTTCAAGACTATGCACACAGTATTTGACTGGTGATGATGAGACGTGAGTACCAGCTCTCAGAAGGCATGGGAAATGCGACACACTTCTCTTGCTTTTATGTAGCAGCAGCTGATTTGGTGGAGTTTGCCGATTTGTTTCTTGGAGATCTAGTCAACAACTAATGGCTTCACGATCATAAGATTCCTCGTGGTCGAAGCCGACACTTACAGCACAGCTTATCTCGGGTAATTCAAACATGATGGAGACTTTCAGATAATCTTTGCGGTGTTCGAGGATAGTTCTAACATTCCACGTAGAGATTCACATGTTACACCGTACCATATCTTCATCGTGATTCGAGATCATAATAAGTTAAGGGGGACCACATCGCATATAGTTTAAGATGATTTGAGAACTAATTTTCTGTGAATGAATGGATTCAACCGGGATAAATACGCTGCCGATGGATAGACGGTGATAGATGGAATTGGTCATTTTCTCAATCTGAAGACGGTCATTCTTTTCCCAACGGCAACTTCAAAACTGAGATAGAATATTGTTCCAACAACGAAACAAACTGGCGATGGTTAAACTCGAGGGAATTTCTCTTGTTCCGATTTTGATTTTTTGTCTGCACCCGTGGGTAGCATTTGTTTCCTTTGTATCCTTTGTGTACCTTGTCATGAAGATAAGATATGAAAATGTTTCCACTTTCGGCTGCTGCTGTTGATTTCGTATATCTCGATTTGAAACTGCCTGACCATATTAGTGATAAGTCGCCGTGTTATTAGCGATCACTTTTGTACCTCTATCTATGTTTGGGTATCAAACAAATCTCGCCTCTCTTCGAGGCTTCAATAGTTGCATAATATCTGATAAAAAACTCAATTCTCCAATGTCTGGTGTCCTCTTCCTGTGATGGCCTCAGGTAAAGAATAATGGTTTGAAATGCTCTGTTCTTTTTAATACTACAGAGCGGCAGCACAGATCCCTCGAAAGGTTCGAGTTTGCTACTTCGTCAAAGACATTGCGATTCTGAAGCCATAAACTGTTGCTTTTAGAAAACGTGGTCCACTCACGAAGTGCAGTGTATAAAAATGGCCTGGACAGGCGGCAAATCCATAAACATGAAACACAAACGAGGATGCGTTGAAATTTCGAACGTAGAGCATGTCCCTAAAGATACTACACTTGCAAGTAGAGGCAGCTTTCTCTCGTAACGAAGGAATGATGGCCGCTGAAAAGTTCCTCTCAGTCGGTTGTAAAATGGAAAGATTCAGTGATCAGGTTCTTGGATTACATCGTCGTCCTCTGATGCATGCTGCTCCGTGGAGTTCTTCTCTACACTTGAGGACAACCGCATCCTCTCGGCCATAGGTGCCTCTTATGAGAGCCGGTGAAGAGTAGAGTAGGCGATGCATCTCTTGTAGTGACTTGGGAAAGTTACTTTCGGAGAGACTTCATAGCTAAGGCTGGTTCCAATGCTGGTCTCTGTTGTGGCAATAAACAAGTGGAATGGGAAGGACATCTGCAGCGATAGTTCAGTCCTTTCATGAGCCTCTCTCTTCCTTTCATTCTTTCCTTCTATCCCAGTGGGCCTACAAATTGCAGTGGTTTGTTCTATGCATAACTGCTCCAATTAATGACATGAATATATCTAAAGGCAAGGGAGCTATCCCCTCGTCCTTTTTCCAGGCGCAGTCCCTTTCTGCCTGCTTCGTTGTGGGGTGGGGTGGGGTGGTGTTGACCTTCACCCCCCGAGTCCCAGTGATGATGATGACATACCGTATTATAAATTTATAACACAAGCTGCAAGAATCGGTACGGATCTGTGATAGCGTTTTCGAAATGAAACTTTCTCCAGCAATGACAAATTGTAGATACTGTAGTGAGTATGGCGTAATCAATGTGGGTCGGACCGTAGCTGTAAGCGAGGGAGAGGGGAAGGGAGTGAGTGAGTCACCTTGCGGGAGCAGGCATGATGTGCTGACGAGGCTCAGTCGTTCCCGGGTTCTCCTGTCTCGAACGAACGATGGCGGGTTTTATAATCGGTAAAGAAGTATTACTTTTTCAATAATTAGGCGATATGACTTGTGGCAATGATTGTTAGCTTCCTCTGTTGGATAAGAATGTCTCTGTTTTGACCACTGTCGCCGTTGTTTGTGCAGCCTTGTGGATCACCGTGCTGTACAAAGCGGTGGAAGGGGTCAAGTACCCAATGCTCCTCCTCACTGTCGTGGCCACGACGAGGTCAGCCGAGCAGAGCTGCCTGCCTGCTCCCTTTCATATAATCGCATCGACCACTGACTGACAGTCAGTCCTCTGGTCGAACACCTGCACCCAGTTTCAACATGCTGAGATACTTGTGTGCTTCGTACCCTGACCATAGCTGAAAACGTTTACCTCGGTACCTGCTCCTGTTTCCAGGGTTTCGAAGATATGATATGTTCTTGCCAGTCCGGAGTCAACAGGTTACCGAGTTTGGAAGATGTGTGCTCCTGACTCACTTCATTCTACCATGTCCAGATCCAGAACGAGGTCTTTGCTGGACTCCGGACTGGAAAGTGTTACCAACAGGGCTCGTCCCATGAACTACAACTCTGGCACCCATCTTTCATAATTTTCTGGACGCTGAAACCATTGGGTTGCCACAAATGTTTTGTCTTCAGTTCAGAGTTAAGCAGTTCAGGCCTTGTTTCCATCACAAGCACGATGCCCACGATCTGGGTGCTTATAGCACCGGCTACGGTGGTAGCAACGAGAAGGCTGGGACGGAGGTCACGGAAATGGTCCGTCCCAGCCTTTTCACTGGGCTTGGAAAGTCCCCGAAAGTATGTAAACAGTGGCTCCATGAATCAAGCTTGTTGTTGCCATGTTGAGCTATCTTGTGGAGAATGTGCCGATTCAGCTCTCATCCAGCCCAGAGGGCCCACCTTGTTGGTGTTCGGGGTGCTTTTCTTCATGATGATAGAAACTCAGGGCTCTTGCTGATTTTTCCTCTCATCGCCAGAATCAAGAGCGGTGGAGTAGATTTCTCTCGTTTTACTCAGGCCTCCGTTGACTGCCTTCGTAAAAACCTGTCCACCGTCTGGCTTGTTTGAGATGATCACTCTGCTTGTCAGCTTGACCTCACAAGCATGTATTTTGTGACACAAGCGACGAGTAAAGTGGTAGCTTCCCGCTCGATCGGACAATGTTGGAAGAAGTCTAGCCAGATGGAACCTTTTGGGTGTTAATTTTCGGAGCAGAAGATTGTACACCAGGTCATGGGCGGAAGTCTTATATAACTAAGAATATAACCTTTTCTTAGTCTGCGGTGATTTGGACTTGGACAAGCTGCAAGTGGTGTACCTGGGTCCCCATCGTAGTCATTAGTGTTCCCTGAAGCAGAGCACAAGATACTTGCTCTGATCGCCTTGCTCATCCGAGATGATGTTCACTAGTTTGAGTTGACTCAGCCGATACGCCGAACTCGACAGAAGGAAACATAATGTCAATTGATCATGAAGCGCACCCACAATGCAATGCCTAATGAACTGTGTACGCAGAGGTGACCTCTTCATGGTATCGAGGTGACGATCACACATGACGGAAAGGTGGGCAGGTATCAGTGGATCAAAAGATCAAAGGATCCCTTTTCATCCTTGAAGTCAGACGGACTCGAGATAATTACATACATCTGATTTGTATCTGAATTGTGTACGCAGGTCATCACATCTGCAGCTTGTGCGAGCTGACGAATGGACACGTCTGAAAGTATGGTTTTTACAGATTTCTTTTCTCGCAAATCCTGAGCAATAATCTTCAGGTTTACAAGCCCATGTATTTGTCCCTAAAGGGTGCTCCAGGGGCCTGTTGTCCACACAATCTCAGATTGTATATGCACGAGGTCATTTGTATGCCCCCGTGCAAGTGAGACCTGGCTGCCAAAGTACCACATCGCCTCATGCTTTTCTCTTCTTTCCTAGCACCGGTACCAACCCTTTTAGAATGGTTCAGAACCTTCAACAATCTAGCCGAAATTTGTAGAGCCTAGATCAAGACCTATTGCGTACGGTTTTGTATAGTTACTGCTCACATCTCTTCATGCTTTAAAGGTAACCCTACATCTATAAAAATTTCCTTGAAATATTCTACTAGAGCTTTTCAACGTCGCATGAAAGATAGATAGATCCAGCTAAGATATGTATCTACAACCCGTTAGAAATGGATTTATATGCACCTAGCGCTTGATTTTAAATCTAAAGTATACATGCACGTGTGCACGCAACCTTACATGGATAAACTCAATCTCATCCACACTAGCTTATGGTTGATACACCTCCATGGGTGACTAATCCAGTAATTCAGTTGGGCTTACAGCAGAAGACAAGATGATGATTATCATGCTGGTCCGCTGTGACTTGTGAGTAGGTTAAGCACTAGAGAGGCACAAAGGTCACTTATGCAACACGCAAGTCATGTCTTTACAATGTATTTGAAAAAAGATAGTATGAATGCGGATGATTTCATGAGACCAGTATATGTGGCACAGCTGCAGTCTACAGACTTCGTCAAATATTTGTAGAAGATCGATGGGAGTCAATGCAAGAATGGAAGAACACTAGAGGCAGAAAAAACCGCACAAGTGAAGCTCATTTTAGGCCTACAAAATCATGATTACAGTAAATCTCGAAGCCCATAAGATATAGAGCCCAAGATTATATCCAGCAAATCAGGAAGAATATGAACTGTGATTAAATCTAGGCGCACTAGCATTATGGTTTACGGCTATGAAGGCTAGCAAGGACATCAATCGGCTGGTTGCATGGTGAAAGTGGGCATACGTTTAGAAGAATGGTCTCTCAAGTCAAAATAATGTGTGGTACGTCATGACCCATCATCGCTTCAAGATATATAAAACAATAGAGTCGCGGTCTGCACCTTGAACATGATTGCCCATGATGTGCATAGGACTCGTCGAGACATTAGGACAGGTGTGCTACCTTTCTTTGTGTGTATATAAATCTCTTTTCCAAGACTGATGCCTACAGAAGATTCAGTAATTGTGGACGATCGCATAAAAACAACGATGTCTTCGTACGCCCTTCATCTCACCTTCCAAGAGTTTCATTATTGGAACTGCCAGTCCCAACAATTGGTTTCTCTTGAACGTAGTATGGTATCTTCAGAAAGCATTACCACCACTCAGAGCCAATGAAAATCAGAAATTACCTTTGACACACGAACAAAACCTTTGACACAGACGTACTCGACTCATGATCTCTGAAAAACCTAAAGAACAAGTGACATCAGGTCGTAAGTCTGTCAAGTGACATTGAACAGATCTGGGAATCTGACGAAGTAGCCCTCCAGTAGATTGGACCGGGTCGATCCTGTACCACGGGTCAATGTTATCATTAGTTCATGAGTATAAATAAAAGATCAGACGAAACACTCGGATTTTCACATGCAGACTCTGAGCGACGACGACCGTCTCGTAGAATCGGAGAATCGGAGGTCGGATACACACGGGGCACAGCGTGATGGTCGATGATGGGGCTCAATCTCAGAAGCGAAAGGCTGATGAGCTCTCCGTGAGATGTGTGAGCTGTTTGCTTCCCGTGCAACCAACGTCGAGAGAAATAAAGCAAAGGATCGGACTCTAGATTCGTAAGTTGCGGCTATCTCAGGTGGAGGAGACTCGATTCACCGGGCCCCACTTGCCATGCCTGGAGTGTGTTGCGCACAATCCGTTGTCTGAAAAGCTTTCACAGGAATCGGGAAAAGCACACACGACGAAAATGAATATCCAAATCAGTGTCCCCGTGTCCATCAAATTATGGTCCGATCACAGAGAATTAATACTGCTCGTATGTCTGTAATACGCCTTGCATCAGAGTTACTCCATGCTGTGTATACTTTCCAGACCTCCTTGTATTCGCTTGGTGCTAATCCTTTTCATTATTATGGGCGAATCTTTCACCTGAAGGAAGATGCTGATTTCGTACATGGACTCAAAGATTACGACCAGTGACCGTGTATTTGGGATTCTTTTTCATTTGTCATTTTCTTCTTTCTCGGGACGGTTTCGTGGCTTGAGGAGCAGATTCCACTAACAGGAGAAAAGTAGGTGACTCATGTTGGTGACTGCTGCTGCTGTAGGAGAAGAGTCTAGTACATTCGGCGCTCACCAGAAGTGGGTCACGATCACTCATGAACACGATAAAAAGATGGATAGCTTTCATGGCCAGTTTATCCATCTGGTGGCCCTCAGACTTCCAGGTTCCAACCCATTCATGAGCATGGATAACCTGCGAAATGCAAACGGTCGCTGTGGAGAACGAGTAGTTGTATCAGAACCTTTTTTTATCAGGAGAGCCCGGTAAAAGACTCTAGCAGCAAATCTGCGGTGAAGACAAGATTGCAATGATAGCTGGTCCCGGACATTTGTACGCAGGTGGTGGGATGGGCGGCCTTCCATGCTTGCAGAAGTTCCCCCAGCCGTACAAATGCAGCTGCAGTTGATGATCAAAGGAGCTGATAGGGGAGTACTCGACTGCAGCAGCGGCCAGCATGCTTCGTTTGACTCTTCGCAACCTCGCTCCGGTCTGATCCTTTCTCATGAACCAATGATGATTGACTCTGAGTGAGAGCGATGCTATCATAGTCCCTCTCTCCCTCCCTTTCTCCCCATGGAGGTTTACGCTTAGAAGAGCCAGTCCATGTCCCAGAAGTCAAGCCATGCCACATTCCTTGTAGCCCTACGTCTGGAAGTGAGTGAAAATGCAACACCCGATGGCTTGCGATGGTAAGATAAAGTTGCAAGATCCAGACATGTCAAACCATTCAATCAAAGGGATGGGATGGGAAACTGAACCCAACCTTTATAACTCCCAGGGTTTATCTGTCCCTCCCTCCCTCCTCCCAGCCTATAAGATATGAACTGCCCATGATACATATTCAATCAGGGGGAATACTTAGTCCCGGGACTCTCATTCATCTGCATGAACGACTTCAATCGAGCCTTTTGAAGCATCTCAGAGAGTACAGTACAGCAAGAAGCAGGTGTTGTAAAGCGGTGAGGCTTGGAGCTGACAGCTGTGGCAGCTGGATCAGAAAGACGCCAGATAAAGGAAATCTCATGTTTCGTGTAAGATGATAACCTCCTGTCGCGTGGTAAGAGGAGAGCTAACCCTCCCTCCCTTGAGTTAAAAATTCAGGTTGCTGAATCTTTGGACATGGTCCGCTCCGCCAACAAAGTCCTCCAGCGTCATGAGTTTCAATTCTATGCCAAAAAGAGGTTATTGGTAATGCAATCGTAAAATTTTGTGATGAATTGGACGAAGATGGAATATCGGGTTTCGACGAGAGCGTTATGCGATTCAACTTCTAGAAGGTGAGTACCGGAAGGTATTCATCATGTCCCTGCAAAAAGTGCATGCGTCATATAATAAGTCATCTAATAAGTGTTTGACAATGTTCTGCGTTCTGTCAATGAATCGATTGAGAGACTCGAGAACTTATCCTCCACTGCTGCCAAGAGAATGGTGCGATGAATGGATATGTATACGAGAGGCATACTATATTGGCTCTGGTGGGCGAAGCGAGTCTCGGTCAACAGCGAAAGCAAAGCAAGGCAAGGCAAGGACATCTGGTGTCCATGACGGACACTCATAGAGCAGATGCTGTCAACCGAACAAAATGGAGGAACAAACAAAGAGGTCAGAGGATCTGCACACCAAACCACGACCAGGACCGTTCGGTGACAGTTCTTCATGCACATTTCCGTCAGCTCTCATGCCATCCAGCAAGGTTATATTCACTCGGCCCCAATATCAAGAATCAGCGTGAATGCATTCGAAGTGGTCCAACCGCACTCGGCCACCGCTGCTCACTCCGACAACATAGAGTAGTTGCTTGGGGTGAGTCACCGCTGGTAACAAGAGCTTTGTGTAGGCCAAAATTGGATTCGCTCGATGGGACAATATTGAGTGACCAGTGTCGTGCCTTCATTCTTCCTACACCATAGCTTTTCTTACTTTCCAGATGGGTGTAAAACCACGGCTAGTATGCCAACACAGCGACGTGGCAAAAGAGAAGAAAGTGTCAAGCCCTCCTGGGACATGGGGTTGGAAGAAGCTTCTGCGGCTGGGGACGTAGGGGTCACCATGGATTGCCAAATGTAAAGAGGACAAGTTTTGCCTTCTGTTGTCGTACATTTTCTGGCCAAGGTCTAGTGCTCGCGAATCGTATCCAATCTCTACTTTCTCAAATGTCCGTAGCCTATTCAGACGAGATGAGGAAGATGGTTACAATTTGACCGGAATCTATCTTTACTCATCTTCATCACCCTCGTCTAAATTATGGAGAGTTGGGCACTTCAAGATCTCTAGCTCAGTCAGGACGTCCTGCTTGCTCATGAGGAAAGACAAGTAGAGAAGAGAGAAAGAGAAAAGGAATGAGCCGAAAGGAAGGGAACAACCCACAAGTTAACGAAATCTTGATGCCCCCATGGACAACCTGATGCTGCTTCAGTACAGCAGATTTGGCGGTATTTTCTGCTTTCTCAAATGTCCAGCCATCCTGTTAACGTGAAAGAAAAGTGGGGCAGTCGGGATCCAACACTAAGTAGATGGGAAGTACCAGCGGCAGACAATTTGCTGAGGTCGAGCCTCATCTAACCAGAATCCGAATTAGGTGCAAGTTCCTCTGCCCCACAGAGACGAGGTCGCTCCTAGCTGGGTAGATCCATAAACCGGGCAGCGACACCTCACAGACAGCCAGATAAAACAGAGGCATAGCCCTGGAAAATGAAGGCTTGACATCTCAAGGACAAGACTTTGGAACACGAAAGCAACAGGAAACAAAGAAAGAAATAAAGCTCACCATCTGAAAACATCATAGTGACTCATGGATGTCCTACCTGTGGAACTGGTCTGCTGTTGCTGCAAGAGTGGCGTGAAATCGATCCGCCGAAGAGCGACATACAAACCGACACTCAGAAGAAGATCAAAATTATGATTCGAACCTATCACACACGCAGAACCATTTGATTCGATCAATTCTGCAACTCTGAGACATGATTGCCGGTGCAGGAGGAGTGACAGTAATACCCGCGACCCTCGGACAAGACCTTGAGTCTTGAGACAGCACAATTGGTTCTGGACGGGCCAGTCAATTGGCCCAGGGTGACCTCTGTGCCTATCTCCATCATGTTGGATTTAGAGCGTCTGTACTGGCAGGTCAGAGCCATATGACCTCAGATGGAGGTTTCGTATCAGTGAAATTGATGAGCTCTCGGGCTTGGACAGAACAGATGGACTTTGCTGCCGATCGGGACTCATGTTACTCTCTCTTCAGTGTCCATGTTTGGAGCCTCCGCTGGATGGTGAGCTGAACTAAGATGTCAGAGCGTTATCAGCTGCTCAGCAGAAGCAATAGCTATGGCATCGTTTTGAGTGCACATAACTGCCGTTTACAGGAAACCTTGAATCTCACTCAACGCGTCTTCTGTTAAAATTTCACCGTCAGTGGTTTGACTCAACGCAAAGTCTACAAGTCTGGAACGTCAAGGTTTTATCACTCGTGACATCATCACGGCGAGAGGACGGTGTTTCGACGTTACAATCGCTCGAGCTTTGACATATGTCATGACGTGCCCTATTCAGACAGCCTTCACAATGAGATCTGGAGTAGTGACGGTAAACGACGAGGCATACAGTACACAATGTGGATAAACAAGGCGTTTACGGTAGCCTCCGCTCATATGTCTCCAGCAATATCACACCCCGAATCTTGAAGTCTCCACCCCTGAGTACACTGTACTTCCTCCTGCCTGCTTAACCAGCACCACCACCAAAGTTCGTGCCTAACCAATGCTGATGCAAGCTTTGCATGAGGCCGATCATCAGGCTTCAAACCATCAGCATGGGTTGTTTTCTCCTGACGACACAGATATGTGTTATTCATGTCACATGCATTATTCTGTCTTCTCATCCACGAAGAGGTTTCTGATCGACACACTAATGCAAGCAAAGCTACCCGGAACTTTCTGCCACTCGTAAGTTAAGCCAAAGATATGAGCAGAGGGTTTATCTGCATATGCTGGGTCCATGTCAGGGGGTGAAAAGGACGTGTAATTAGTAGTGAGGCTATTTATTAGGATGCAGTGTGTCTAGAAAAACATTTGACCGTGAGAGAACTGAAATTACTTCCCTCTATTTTTTGCCCTCTTTTCGTCATTCATAGCTCATGGCGGTGGAGACCAGGAGGTCCCCCTTTTTTCCCTGTCATCCGCAGCATACTGCTCTTCATGCGGCTTCATAAACGGCATCCATTTGCAAATCTGCAAAAGCATCGAGACTGGGTAGGGTGCTGCTGCTACTTCTTGCCGTGAGTTGAATGTCAGATCGACATTTGTTGTCCTTCGTGCCGGCTATACATGTACCAGACAATGGAGTTTCAGAGCTTCAGAGTCTTGGCGGCAGGAAACCTTCATCAAAAACCTTCATGCCGTCACGGATTAGTAGTGAAGGACAAGGAGGACAGCCTTTCGAGGGTGCAAGAGCGGGTGTTAATGGCCGAACTTGCTGCAAGCCATCACAGGAGACGGGAAGGAAAACTGAAAACTGCCATGGTTGCTCAGAGTTCCTGCGATCTGCAGTCAGTTTGTAATTCTATGTACTGTTTTTTGTCCGGGATCAGGAAACCCTGATGTGTACTGCGCTTGTGTATGAAGCAATCTTGTTAAACTCTCTAAACGAGCATCTTATGATTGGGGCAGCAGCAGGTAAGGTAGAGTCGACCACAATTGGGGTTGAGTCGTCATTGCCAATATGATACTATGAATGTAGAACCCCTGTGTCGGTCATAAGTTTTAGAGGGATGACGTAAATCTAGCGGTAGAGGTTCATATCTGCAATGCTCATATGGAAAGATACTTGTCGAGGTTACCTCGTTGTGAGGATCTACAAAGTTTATTTCAGCAGAAAACCAGTGGGATTGAGCAGAGTCCGGGGCTTGTCAAATTGCAAACATAGACACATTCAAAGTTTTCAGATATTTATGCTGAAGATTATAGAATTCGCCGAACCGCAATGATAGAGACTCAAAGTTGATAAATGTGAACTTCTGATCCTCTGTCATGGGTAATATCTAATGCACAAAAATTTGTCTGGCTCATTTCTGGTTCTTTTCTTCACCACCGTCTGGTGGTGAAGAATCAATCCACCGTCTGATTTTCGCTGGATATGGCCTTGATCATTGGAGTCTAGGAGTAGGAGTTCACCTTCTATTCTCAACGTAATATACAGGTCTTGGTACTGTCTAAATGTCACCGGCTTGTACTCTCGTGTTCAGAACAAGTTGCCACTAAGGTAACTGTTTCCCTTCGAGAGAAGACTTACTGCAAACAGTGCTCAGAGTTTGACTTCGTAGGGAAAGATATGACATAAGACATGAACTCTTCACCTTCACGAAAATTCCAGATGATCGGAAGTTGACTTACCATTCCGGTGTAACAAGCATATACTTCAACCCCGTCAAGCAGTACACAGCCCCGATGTCAAGAATGAATTGTGAAATCATTCTTGATGTTCGAATTCACTGTTGGAAATTGGTTATAAATTTTGGAGTTTTCTACAAAGCTCTAATATGAATACGCAGAACATTCGGCCTATCGTGAACTTCTAGAAACATGAGAATGAAAGGTGAACATCGTCACAGCGAATAGAGGAGGAGACGGGATCTGTCAGGCTCTTCTTCTGTGTTCATCTCCAAATATGCATCCTTGTCTGAGCTTTTGAAGCAGAAGGCTGTGATCACTATGTCCTTTCTATGTACCCATGCTGTGTTCGAAGACAAGGGACGGAAGCAACAGGTAGAGACCATTATATTATCTTTTCGAATCCACTGGACAGCAGTGTTTGACAGTGAAATCTTCTGCCTTGGTAAGACTAAATGCTTGCCAGATCTCTTGTATTTTGTAGGTATGATCTCTGTGATGCAAAACAATGACGTGCCCTGTTTTATCCTCTAGAGCCAGAAGATCAGATTGTTGGATAAAGGTGGTATAGAGTTTCAGCTAATTATACAGGTTTCCCAGGAGATGATGTAAATCTGCACATCGTGGGAAAGTTATCAACCTGCCAAAGAAAAACTCACAACTCCTTCATTTTCAAGAAACTGTCTCTTTCTCCTTGATAAAGTCAGGTTTGTCTTTGATAATAGCGAATCATTATCTATGAAAACAAGACAAAAACTATGATGTGCTTCTACTCTCAAAAGTTTGAGCGCTCCCTGATTTTGAAACAGAGGATTTTGTCCATTTTTGCTTGACTTTTGAGTCATTTGGTCTTCTGGTCAGGTAACATGCTGCTAAAATGTCCGTGTAGATTTTATGCTCATGTTTCCTAGATGCTGGGGTAGCAGACATGACGAAAAATTCCATCGGCAAGTATGGAGTAGATGTCAACTGACACTGGTGAGAACCTATAGATGATCAAGCTCCTCATAGTCGACCGACATGTTTAATCTGGAAGAATTGAGATCGTCATGTCAGAAAGGGACATTTTTTTGGTGATTGGACTACTTGTCAACTTTACCATCACAGTAGAATCATGTATCGTAAGGGTCAATGTTTGGTAAATCAATCGTACTCGTACAAGTACGCAAAACTTTTCGCGTTGATCTTTCATATTCCTAGAGAATGAGAGAAAGTTAAACATGCCATGAATTTAAATATTTGATCAGTGAGTTAAATATAATTCGTAGCAATTTGACGAATACGACATTAGAATTATCGACATTTTCTTACAGTTTAGAACTTAGTCTCACATGTGGATTCAGAACTGAAGGTATAGATGTTGAAGGCTTGGATCACAGGGCAGAGGGATTCAGATGCAAGTACTTTCGTGGAGGAAACTATCAGAGAACGACTGCAGAACGAGAGCGATAGACATGATCCAGTCCTCCATCTTCAGGCTCATAAAAAACGACTTGCCAAAAATTTACCATGGTCCATATGAAATTGTGATCACACGACTGAGAACATGCTGGAGCATGCCCGCATCATTTGCATACGCCGTAATGACGGAATCCGAATCTCAATGTTCTGTCAGTATAAAGCCTAAACTAAATCTAAAATTAAATTCCTTAACTTGGTTGCAAATCCGAAGTCCGGGTACACAGAGAAGAGAAACTCGTCATCCAATAAATTTGTAACACTGTAGGAAGGACCAGTCGACTATTCAAGGAGACAAAATCGTTTTGTGTACAATCATCACGAAGAGGGACGAGGGACCTTCCATAATCATGGTGTATCCTTGGATTTTGAAGAGTCGAACTGAACTCACGATTGCTCCATGAGCAAGAACATGATTGACATAGAGACCAAGTTACCATGTGACTTCCACCAATTTGGTCTTCTTTTCACCTCTGCATGATGGGGAGTGAAGCATCCAGATTTGTTTATGCAGCCTGTATTGTGAAAATGATGCCAAGGATGAATTTGAGACCAAAGAGGCACAGAGACAATCAAAGGTTGCTACTGTGGTGAAAAACTCACGCTTGTCGTCAAATCGTGTGGCGGAAATGTATTCGGAAACTACAGTAAAAACGAAAGACCTGTTTTTGCTTGTTCTGGTCTACCCCCGTGAGTCCCCTTTCGAATATGTGTGGCCGACAGAGTATGCAGTTGGAAGTCCTCGAATCTTTTGTCAGTCTAACAAAATATCCCCAGTAACAATGATCTCTACTGTGCGCATACGGATATGGAGGATGAGTGCCAGGAATCCATTTGAAGATGTTGCGCGTACTGTCGAAGAACAAAAAAATACTAAGATAAGACTCTCAAAACATTTCATCTCGAGATTTGATTATAAATCAATATCGAACCTGGGGTCGCTCTGCTCGATCATCATGCAATTTAGGAGCCTCAGTATGCAGATATGCTCTTCCGAGCCCTGCTTCGAAATGAAAGCACAGAGAGAAGTAGGCCGTTCATCACTTCCTTCTCAGTCGGAAAATAGGTCGCAAAAGAAATTAACACATGTCAAACGCATCAGACCGTTTTACCATTTCTCGACCTTCTTTGAACAGTTGGTTGGACCTGTGTGTGGCTTACTGCAGCCATGTATACGAGATGGATAATACAGCAGTTACGTCTACGACTGCAAGACCTGTTTGACAAGTATATGAACTCCACAGCCAACCCACACAGCCAGGACTGCATAAAAATGGTGTATGGACAATACCCATAAAGTACATGTAAAGACACACATGACCTCCAAGGCGTAAGAGTTCAGAACAGGTCGTGAGTTATGGAAGAGTGAGTCTTGTTCACATCCCTGTCGTTCTGCCCGAAGTAGGGAGGGACAAGCTTCAGAGACACGAATCTGTCCCTGCTTCGTTCCAATTTCAGTAGCTGGAGAGTTCATTAGACACCGAGTTTGCATTGTGAATAAATTCAATGCAAAACCCGTGGATCGTGCTTGTGCTAAGCACTGGAGATTAAAGCATGTGAGAAAGAATCAGCAAGGAGAAGGTCGAGAGGGTTATCCACCGTCCTTGATCGGGAGTGAAGAAAAGTTCAATCCAGAGTAATTATTCTGCGGGCGAGAAGACGCCAACGACAGAAGGAACAAGAACTGCGCAGAATCACTAACGACGCAGTCAGTCAATCAATCACTCGCGACCGAAAAGAAGCCGAAATGTTGATGGAAACAACTCGCGGCATGAGAACGGAGCAGCAAATTTGTCACCATTTGGGGACTGTCGGGGTTCGGGACTGTCTCCAGAATCCATGGGGATATCCCGGTCCAAAACAGCCCGCGGCCGTGAGGCCTCCAGCATCCCTCCGATGGGACGGGACCGCGCGCTTGATCCAGTCTAGTGGGAGCGGAGATGGCGATGCATCCAGCAAGCTGGGAACGACGGACGGAGACAAAGTTAGCCGGCGATGTAGAGGTGGTCGTTCGTTGGTTTTAAAAGCTGGGAGCTCTGGGCCGTGAGGTGGCGCCAGTGGCGCAGTGGAATGATTGTTGGCTGGACGGTAGCTGCTGAAGAGCGGCCCTTGGGCCCGCGCAGAAGTGAGCGACGTTAAGTTGCGCCCGTTTCGCCGGGGCCGCGTAGGTGGCCTCCACGCTTCCATATGTTTTGGTGTAGACCTCGACGGGCGAAGAAGGGGAGGGAAGGAGGCCAGAGAGGGCGTGCAGAAAAGATCGCGTAGATTTGCGAGGCGAGGCGAAGTGAGGTGAGGTGAGGTGATCGAGAAATTCAGGGCCATATCCCGCCCTGCAGGGAGTGGGTGGGCCACTGCAGTTCAGCATGGGAATGTCATGGCGTAATCCATCTGCCGTCGGTGTATGCGCGCACGAGCCTGCTTTGCGTTCCAAATTTGGTGGGGGTGGTTTGGTCCCCGTGCACTTCTCTGGAAATTACAGCAGTTGCGGAAGCAGTGGGTCGGATGTGGTTAGCGCCTCCTCGCGTAGGTGGGAAGCGAGGAGCTCGAATGGCTTGCTGACTTGTTTTGATGCCGGGTGCCGATCGAGGAATGGATCAGAAATCGTCCATGGTTCGGGCAGAAGCCTAGGGTTGAGATTGTCCGGACGAGTTGTTCGTTTGGAGAACTCGAAGCATAAGCATTTATCGGTTCGTGCAGCTGGTGATCAGAATGGCAAGAATACGACCGGTAAGTTTCTTAAGCTGGTCATATCTCTAGTCTTTGGAAGATATTTTCTGAGTCTCTTTCACACATACGGGATGTGGAAATCCGATCAACGTTACTGGATGATGAGTCAATGTCGATTACTGTCAGAGTGAAATTCTGTCTACTCTTTCTCATCTGGAGTTTTCAGTGTTGGTAATATGAAATGAATCTTATCAGCTGTTCGTTGCACAGAAAGAAGGTCATACGGGACAAAGTTTGTCCCGTTGTACAGAACCTGGCACTTAGTTTGAATCATGAATTTGAAATTCCTCTTACAAAGTGTACTGCAACGGTTTGAAATCCTGAAGATTCTTCTTGAATCTATCTATTTAAATTTTATTTTTTTTTGCGTATGCCTGTTTGTCCTGAATGCCATTAACATCTGTAACTCTGTTGCCTAGTCGTTAGGGCCCAGTCTCAAAATTTGACTAGGATCCAACAATTAGTCTCGTACCTTCTGCCAAATTTGTGTTGAACGCCCCTGTCAGGATCACTGATTTTACGTTCTTGACTAAATGGGCTATTTATCACCCTTCGGAGTCATGAGCACCTTGATGCCTCGGTGGAGGTTATAACCTCGAATTCAACCACCAGGCTTTAGTAGGACGTCTTGAGTTTAGCTTTTCTTCCATTTGGCATCAAGTTCTAAAATATATTTTCATCCGAAAGCCAACTGCAGCCGTTGGCTGACATACTTTGGGACCGTGTGACGATCAGTTTCGTTCAATCATTGACACCCATAGTTACATGGTTGGGATACTGGCGTCCATTTGAGTGGACCTTACTGGACACTATTCCAGCATGTGATGTGTGAGCTATCAACATAAATAACACGTGGTCGGCTTATTTGGCAGGTGATGATCCGGTGGAAACATTGTTCATGAAGGAACTTAGGCGAAGGGGTATATCTTCTGATGGTAAGGGATCCACAGGAACCGAGACTAGAACCAAATCAGACGATGACAACGTCGGTGGACCAGGGTCCAGTGAAAGAGGATGGTCTCAGCAAGGTGGGTCCAAGACAAAATCTTCCTCCCAGTGGACGGCAGCTGAAACTGATGACCAGTTAAAACGTTCAAGGGCTTTGAATAGTGAAGGTTTAGAGGTAAGAAGGATTCAATGGGCTTTTCTTCACGTGCAGTTTCAGTGTCCTGTTTTCATGCACAATCCATCTATTATGGCCAATTTCTCTTCAGCTACATAGGAACAACACTTAAAAAACGGAAGGTCTCGTTATCTTGTGCTTATCTTTTCATCTAGTTGCAGATATTTAACACGCGATACCTTTACAGGGTCTGATTCCCAGGGCAACAGAGCTATTGAAGCTTGGCGGATCCTTCTGGATAGTGTTCTGGCCTCTCATATTGGCAAGTCTCGCAACATTCATTACGCTTTATGTGGTAAGTGACAAATTCTTTTTTCTCCCAGTTGATCATAATAACTTTACTTTTTCAAGCTTATATGCGTGTGGATGTACACTAAAAATCAAGATGGTAGCTCGACGTCCAGTATGCTTGGAAATTTGGTCTATGGTAGATTATGTGGGCAATTACTAAGATCGTAATATTGTCGGCTTTCCGTATATTTGTTTGATTGGACGTTACATCTTTTAAATTCAGTATAAAAAAAATTGTTCGTGCATTTGTTTCTCCTGTTGCACACTTTTTTTTTAATTGAACTAGGAATGTAAGTCAACTCTTCAGGGACAGATCCAACCAAAGAACGTCAAGATTATGTCTTAATTTTCCCTAAAGATTTAAAGTTACCATTTCTCCCACCATTTCAAATTTTGGTCATAGAAGAGTACGTCCTCTTGTGCAATAGAGACAGTGTAGAATGTATCTATCGCGTTTGGTTGAACTCAAAAGTTAGACAGGCCTCTAGTATAGATCATGAGACGTAGGTTACACATACTTGCTCATAACATCGATGGAAAGGATACACTTCTATCGATTTGGAGACTATGCACATTAGGGCTTTGCTTGGCATAAAACAACTCCTCCCAGGCCGAGTAAGGGTATGAAATCAATGGAGTTGAAGCTCAGGTCGAGAACCGTCTAGTATAAGAAGTATGGAGAAAGGCTTGATGAGATTCGAAGTATTATTCAAAGGCTTCATGACAAGATGGTAGATAAAGGTATAGTCCCATCGATTTAAAGACTTGTAGCATATAACAGTGAGCAATCACAACGTCCAAGTCATCCTACATTATTGACCCAAACAGCGCCGTCAGATGATTAATTATCACACCCAAGTCATTGAAACCAATTCAGAACGATGTAAGCGCCTCTGAAGAGTTTAAACTAATCCGTTGGTGTCACTCTCACGCATCTTTTTGATGTTCAGTACTTTGGAGCGAACTTCCTTCATACAGGCAGCAGCATTTATCCAGGAGGAAGGCCTCCATATGTTGAGCCTTACCAGCTACTGGAAGAGGAGACCATTCCATTAGAAATAGGTCCCGATCGAGTTCCATACAGTAGGAGCAACGCCTCTCCTTAGAAATTTGTGTACTATTTCAACATCCCACGTCATGAATATACTGTGTATATATCTGAAGGTGAGTCTGTTCACAACACTCTGCATTTGAGGAGTATGTTGACCTCACTGCGGTACTGTAATATGCTTTAGTTCATTTGTACAAGGTCGGATGACCCAAATTTGAAAGATCGAGAGTATGTAGATGTCTATGGTGCATTTTGAGGATGATAGTTATATTCTGAAAGTTTTGTTGCATAGAGTACCAAAATACTCAATCGTTTCAGGTGATTCTCTGTCAGATAATGTCGGTTGAACGTTTGTGGCATTGGAGTATATATATGAATACCTGGTTGATACAACTGTAAAGTTCAAACACACACATCAACTTTTCTTCAATCTGCTATGGGCATAGAGATTTAACTCTGATTTAATCTAGTTGGTCCATGATAAATCAGTAGATCAGTTATTTATGTCTTTCAGGAAATAACTCGGTTGTGAAAATCTCAAAGGCGGACCAAACAATGTTTTTCACCTGATGAATAATCGCTGTGTCTTGATTGCTCCATTTCTCATCTGTTCCATGTACTGTATTTAAGAGAAATGGGGTCTCCCAAGCCCATGGGTGTGTTCTTATCTGACCATTCTCCGGTGCGTAGCCTTGCAAAATGTTGTATGGCTTTAAGCTTTGGGGTGGGGGTGCTTAGTCGCAGAAACGGAAATTCATAAACTCTGTGAAATAATAATGTGGTAAGAATTACGTAATCAAGTTCCTGTTGTGGAGGAGATTGAAATATCAAAAGATGCCTTACAGCTGTTAAGAAGTAAGTTTTTTTATTTAATTTTTTGATTTTTAAAAATCTTAAGTATATCATAATAGTAGGGACAAAATAGATGATAAAAATTTTGAAGAATACAATAAAGGTATGTATTAAATTTCACAACCTCACTATTTGCATATAACGTAGGAATGAAGCCAAAACAGAATATAGATAAACATGGGCGTTACTAAGTTTGAAATTAAAATTTTGAACAATGTAATTGAAAATTATGTTCAAAATCAAGATAACACTGTCTTTCATTGAGTCAGTAGATTTATACTTAATCACACAATCATGTACTTCAAGTTACTGACAGGCTACAAATGCACAAGCGGCATGTAAATAATACATATATAGATCTGAACGAGCTAACACATTCAAACAACGATGGGGAAGAAATGATTGATATGAATAATAAATTTCGAAGTTAAAGTCAATAATCAATCATAGCAAATCAAATCATATTTTAACAATATTTGATGTTGATATTGAATTATTTATGTCACTTAAAGAATATACTATCTAACTTCGAAGAATATTCAATTTATATTATTTGCAGTCAAATTCTTATATTATGTATCTTGTAAATATTTTTAACTTATATATAATTATAAAAAATTAAATATAAAATGCGTTGTGTGTGTTTATGTCTACCATAATTCATTATGATATCTTTATTAAAATCTTATTTTAAAAAATCTAATTGTTCGTTGTGTCCGACAAATTGTCACAACTTGTTCATATAAGGAATTGATATAAAAAATAATAATTTACTTCACGTAAAATAGAAACTAGACTTCTGCAAACGTTGTGTGATTTTATATTGTATCCTAGAATTTAAGGACCATCGTAATTATATCTATTTAATGCGTAATAGCCGCATTATGTCGTACTCAAGTAAGTAAATTTAGAGTTTTGACCTTTGTATCTGATCAAATACATGACAATATTATCTAGAAATGAAATCTTGTTTGATTGAATTATATTTATCAAAATCTTGGATAATTTCAGATCTTTTTCACTATAATATCTGATAAGAATGTAATGGGAAATAAAATTTTACATTATTTTTTTAGTACGATTATCTGTGTTATGCATTTTGAGCTGAAAAATTCCTCTTTAGTGTTGGAATAGGGTACATGTAAATCATTTGAAATATTGAAAAAGATATACCGAAATTATGATACAAAGTAACACATATAGTCTTTGTGCCTTATCTTTCAAGAATATACTTAGAATAAATAACATCATATAAACATACTAATTGGAAATTTAGTAAAAAATCATTTAGTATAATCAAAATCATATAAGAAATGCATCAAAAGTAAACTACATATAAGAAATATAAAACTTCTATAAACATCAATATAAATATAAACAAATCAATCATTTTGAAAATGATTTATTGTCAGTGTATAATTATGGATGATCAATATACACTTTGATGAGAATCTCTTTAAAATCTTCGCGATGCATGTAGCCTTCAATAAGAGTTGTTTCTTGTAAGAGTCTGTATTTTTATATCATTTAGATGGGTACATGTTCGTTCAAAGTTCAAATGGCAAGTTATAACTTTGCCAACACTCTCATTTATTGTTCTCGTATTCGGGTTAAAATTGAATTTTAAAATAACAGGTGTCTTATAAAGTAGAAGTATGCATAATAGATAATGAAATATATATTTCATGCGAAACACAAACTTGATCATGCGTGTTAGTAAAATCAACTTTCACGTTGCAATATGCTGCAACTACCCATTAATTTCAAATTTCCGAATTTTATCTTATTTGAGGACAAAGATATAAAATATTTTTCAAATTATTTTTCGTGAGCACATCCAACCGCCATGCAATCCACTCAAACACGAATTTGATTATCGTACTATATGGACGAAGTAAATGCCATTGCTAGATGTGGAGAATACGAGAACAACAATTGATCACGGCAATCTGCGATGGGAACCTCAGCATTACATTTCTACAGTTGGGGCCGGAGTGTTAGATTATCGTCATAGTCGCAAAATTCTTATGTTTGACTGCTCTTTTGCTCGGCGAATTAATAGGTCTCTCTAGCGGTGGTCCTCCGGTCCGGGAGGCCACGGTTAACACTTCGGGTTTTGGAGTCTTATCCGAGAGATCTAGCCGGAAGCGGATTAAGTCGATGGACGGGCGCAAGGGTCGCCGGATTGGAGCTCGATTCGCCCACTGCTCGAGATCCTCGATGCTCTGAAGACTCCAAAGCTCTGCGAGTGCGGCTGCCACTTGGAAATCGGGATGGCCTTCGTCCTATCGATGATGGGCCCGAGTGCGCCAGGAGGATCGCACCTCGTGGCCACTCTAGAAATCTTTACTTCGGATTCCCGGGGTCTGATATCTGCATCTTCATCTCCACATTTTGCCGGCGGCAGAAGTTCGCTGTTCCGCCATGTCTGTGGGATCGAGCGCCGTGTTTCTGTCCAGGGGATGAAGTGTGGGGCTGCTCGCGCGGCCGTGAGCAAGCAGAAAAAGAAGGCGAAGGTGCAAAAGCGCTCCGTCGCGGGAGACAAGCAGTGGAAATTCGATGAGCTGATGCTGGTCTGGGACGATGCGTTCCAGAAATTCTGCGACGACTCGGGCATAGCCTCCAGCCTTCTCTCGCTTTCGAGGGAAGGGTTGGTGCAGAATGGCCGTGGGTGTATCTTGATGGAAGAGGCTGTCAACACCCGGTCGCGAGGTGCTGCCAGTGGTTTCAGTAACAAGTCTCGTTATTCCTCCTCCGCTTCTCCTGAGCTCCCGTTTTATGTTTCTTCGGGATGGAATGCCTGTTACGTTCCCTTGGAATTCATCAACGACCCGTTTAAAGCTCCCGAATCGTCGGTCAATTCAGTCACCTCTGTTGTAAGTCTTTCTCCTTCCACGGACGAAATTACTCACAAGTTGTCTTGGCTCTTGGAGCATCAAGGTCTCGCCAGGGATGCAATCTATGTGTTGTATTTGCAAATTCTGAATGTGCGGATTTCGCAATTCGTCCAACCTTTTTTTCCGGTCGGGTGCTGCACTCTTCATCTGGTGACCAAGTATTTGATGTAATTTATCAGTGAAGGAGTCCTGAGTCTTATGTTGTCACAGTGATTTTGGTTGCCCCTAGATATTAGTTCCACTGCTGCCAATTAGGAATTTCTCTTTTTTAGTGGCTTAGAATTTTCTCATCGATAAAATGCCGAGATGCAACTCCTTGCTTGTTTCTCATTGTTGGCGGTTATCGCAGTATTTTAGAGAACAATATACAATATTGCGATGTTGTACAATTGAACAGAAGAGCACCTGCCTAAATCCTCATAATATATCGATTGATATTGTCTACGGTGTTGGAGATAGTATGGGCTGTCACTAAATCGGAGCTGTGTTATTCTGAGATGATGTGTGGCGAGGAAGAGTATGGCACTTCATCTGCACGACCGAAGCATTTTCCCTTTCTCGTGAGGTTCTGACAGAAATTTCTATTGGTACAGGTTTTCTTACTTTTCTCAAATTCTTTGCTGTTTTCTGCTTGTTCTTTGGACTTCTGGCAGGAGGAAGGCGATTCAATCAGTGTAGTCGACCAAGCGAAGTTACTGTCTGTTTTGAAAGGAATGGATAGAACAAGATTGCAAGGGTTGTTGACAGAAAGAGGTCAAGGTCCAGAAGATGCAGGTGGAGAGGAGCCCTACGATCCAACGCAAGATGAGGTGGTCATCATGTTTGCTGTGACAGTGGACGGACAACAAGCTGTAGGCGCAGATGTCTTGAAAGCGTACCCTGCCGAAGGTAGTCTCGAGGGAAAAAACTTGTGGACATTCCGACTAAGAGACGGAGACGGGAGTGACTTGATTCCGTAGGGGCCATTTCGTTATCGAGACCAAGTTCGAAGCTTGTAGGGCCTGACAGTTCTCAAATTGCTTCCAGTTGAAGGTCGAAATGGGTAGGGGGTCCTTACCTCTCATGATTTCTTTGATTGGGACACAAAATATTTATTTAAATCCGACGCACAGCATGCTTGCTTCCTCTCATTCCTCAGCTGCTCGCACAATATATAGAGGAGGTGGAGTCATGCTTTTGACAGTTGGACTGCAATGTGTAACTATTTCTTGATGAGTCTGGTCATTGATAGAATTTTTTTGTTAAAGGAGATGACGTTTTAGACGTAAGAGCGGCTCGGAGTCATTTGATGAATTTACCTGGTGCCGTTGTGAAAAATTGTAACCGGGTCTCGAGACTTTTCTGAGCTGGATCTGTAATGTCTTCTGCAGGTAGAATTTGATGAGACATAATTTCTCGACTTCAACATCCGAGTCTCATTCCACTTCTTGTTCAATGCTTTCAAGGCCAAGAGATATGAACTGAGCTTAAGTCCGAATGTAGTACTGATACTTTCAGGTCTGGAAACGTCAACATCTTCTGGAGTAGAAGTCAGGCCAAACCTGGATGTGCGAAGAGGTCGATGTCGTTTGACTGTGATGCTCTCATTCTCTAAGAATACACCAGACTCCTCTCAAGTGGTTGTAGTCTTTGTGAGTTTTACATGAAGCAATATTGTCCTATGCCCGAAATTTACAACATTTTGCCAGGCCAAGGTACTAAGTTCAGCTCGACGACTACTCCATCTCAGTGCATACATCGTTCTTTAGCTGTGGCCAAACTCAGGCCATTGATACAGTTAGAGAATCAGAAACTCACATACTAAATTAGCCTGTTCTTATATCAAATAAGTTTATAGCATTGCAAATGAGCACACTTGGGAAAGAGTTGTGGTATTTCATGTTGCAAGGCATTTGTCCTCGCTCTTGAGGGGAAGCTGGAAGTCATGAATGAGGTAAGGGACATGTGAATATTATTCCTATGGGCTGAGGATAGTCAAAGTTCCCACTCTGTTATCCTCGCCAACTCTATAGCTCTCATACTTGAGGAGCACTGTTGTCTCATGTAGACCGTATAGAGGGGCCAAAGAATGTCATCTACTGAACACAAGCTCGATCGCTTCTTCCAGCCAGACGATGAGGTATAGCAAAATGGCAGACGACTGATTTTCTGTCCGGTGAACTCTACGGAAGTAAATAGAAACGATGCGACTTTCATTCGTGCTCAATGACAAAACTCGAAACTCGTTCGTGCATGAATGTCCATCTGTGTCGGACCAGCTGACTAGAATGTTTAGGCTTTCGGCCGTGGCGAAAGGCAGGACTTCCAAGTCGCACTCCTTCATGTGCCCACGAGTCTAGTACCTCAGATCTGCCCCCCAGCAGTAACAAAGCGGCTACTGTTTCCAGGAGCGATGGTGACAGGATAGCTCGTTTGCAGTACGTGGTCTCGACACACCACTTGAAGAAATACCACCAGTGGATTTCAGCAGTGGAATGGAAGTAACCCATCGTACACGAAGTCGGTATGTCATCAGAGTTGACCATGTACTTTTTTTAAGCTTCTTCTCAGCTGTACACAGGAATGTACTTTCCGACATCATGTACCTCCTACCAAGGCGGGCATAGCTTTCGCCTCTCCCATGGCTGGAACGAATGGGATGAGATACATGGGATCGGGAAAAGAATAATCGCATGTCTGATCGAAACAGGGCACTAATACCGGGGAACCACCGAGAGAATATCACTCATCTCGGGAACGAAGCTCCAAGTATCGGAACTCGGATGTGAAGATTAAGATCATGCATGAAATTCTAACATGAAAATTCCTTTCGAGATTCGAGGCCCCAAAGCTTTTTTTGAGAATGAACTAGCTCATCAGCGACATGAAATAGTCAAGGGCCAACCGGATTGCTCAGAAAATTGAGCCATGTAACGTCGATGCCGCGAGTGCATGAGGGCGAAGAATTGTGTCAGAGGAAGAAAGCATCGGAAACGGAGACAAGCACGGTTGGCAAATTGTTCAAAATTGGTTGATTTATGCAAAGCAGGATATTCCTGCACCGAAGAAACTCATAATTCACATGCCCTTGACGCTGAACTCGAAAGCAAACCTGGTGCGGGTCGTGTGCCCACCCTTGGCCATGACGTTCGGTTCATGAGAGCTTACATCAAGAGCTAGCATCAGCTGCTTTCTCAGAACGAACAGGATCTGCTCGATCACAGCGTCATTCTTCCTTCAGTTGCACAAGTGACGCCATCTTCACTGTGGATTCCATCGGCCCGATCTGTGCATTTATGCTTCCCTGTCTGCGCCGGGAATCCGACGTGCCCCTCCTGATGGCTGCCCGGTTGCACCTGCTCCAGAGGCGGTCTGTCGCTGTAATGTAGAATCTAAAGCAAGGAAACGTAAGTGCATAATAGTCTCGTACTGCTCAGTACTAAATCGACAACAGTATTGAACTCGATCTGTACGAGGAATTTACGACATTTTGTGCAAAAATATATTTTATGCTTGAAGATGAGTCCAGCGAATTCGACGTGGAATTTTCTCTGCAAATCCAGAGGAGGTGATGGACATCCTCAGCATTTGCGATGGTATCAAAATAGAAAGTTCTGGGAATCGAACAGTGATCGAATCGAATCTCTTGTGCATCCGGAAGGAAAGGGAAAGGGGAAGGGAAGAGAAGGGAGGTGGTGGCGTCAGAAGTGTCGATCTCGGATCGGCGACGAGGCAGATTTCGGTTCATCCTCCACAGAAGGTTCCAGCCGTCGAGCACTCTTATCAGGACGAACAGGAGCGGACGCTGGGTGGCATGGCAGGCCCGATCGGAGGAGGACTGTACAGCTTCAGCTGGCACCTTGTCCTCCACCTCGCAAGCGGTTCAGATATTCCAACTCAGAGCTTCATGGATATGTGGATCGCTAACGAGGGAGCGATCACTCCCTCGCACACTCGTGCTCTCGCTGCCGCTCTAGCGGCCGCCATCACCGCCAGAAAGTTAATGGACTTTGTCAGTAGTGTGCTCGCGTCCGAGCTAATGGCCGGGGGCAGCGAAGTCGTGATGGAACGTGAATCATAGCCCGCCCGCCCAGCTCACGGTGCAAGAATGCTGCCATGACGTTTCTTCCGCGTGCAGGATCCATTGGCGTTCCTCAAGAGCTGAGTTTCAGGGTGTATATATAGCGCCTCTTCACAAGACAGACTCATCTTTCAAGCGATCTTCCTCTCTCTCTCAAGCCACCAATTCAAGCACATAACTGAATCATATTTTAGATCAATAGTTTAGTCCAGACGAGCCTCAGAGGATCAGCTGACTTTTGCTCCGACTCTCAGAGTCCAGGTGAGAACCAGTGCAGAATTTCCAGCTTTACTAGAATGTTTGTGTTCCCGAGTTGTGGATAGAGACGGCGGATTTGGAGAAGGGCCTCTCGTTCAGATTTCTGCAGTGAGCATTTTGTGTTTTTATCTGACATTGCATTTTGGGAAGATGTGGGGAGGCTAGAACTGCTGAGCTCTGTCGTAGTGTGTAACGAATTTCGGACTATCACGCAGGGAATTTTCATCTCGCGAGATCTTCAATTCGAACACCTTGGAGGACAAAAGGCGTTAGCAAGTCCTGTAAATCAGGTGAGCGGCCATTCATGGGTTGATGAAGGTTCAGAGCAGCAAGGACTTGATTCAGAATTCATCACAATTTCCAGTTGGTGATTCTGCTGTTTACGAGCTGCTATGATCTCTTCGAGCATCAGATTCACTCCGTTATCAATAATTTGGATTTGGGGTTTCAGCAAGAAGTCAGAGATTGCTCAATAGGTCGTCCTCCATTTTATTATGTTATGGAAGTTAAATGTCTTCTCTCTCCACTGGCTACAAATCGAGCTCAGAAGCGCAGCCGTCTAGATCCAGATCCAAATTGAGTGCAGAGATTGAAGTTGGCAGATTGTAGCTTCATCGGATTCTGAATCTCAGACAGAGTGTATCAGTGAATGTAAAGATTCCCAGAGAGCCCACTGACTTTGTCAAGCAGTGGGCAACTATCGATGCGAAAGTTGTCACAGCGGTCAGTGAATTGTAGAATGCTGCTGCGCCTTTCTCACGAGCCTTGCTGAATGTAATTGGTTCAGGACTTCGGGAGCAATGGGTCTCCGGTACACAGGAAGTGTTTACATCGCCATGATCCTGTTCGGACTGGCCTTCGCCCAGGCGCAAGGTCCAGCCACAGCACCGGCGCTTGCACCGACTGCGGGACCTGCTCCCCCGACTCCTCTCGTCTCGTCGCCCCCGACTCCAGCAATGGTTCCGTCAGGAGCTCCTCCTCCAGTCGCCTTCATGGCACCTCCCCCCGTCGTCGCAGTTGCTCCTACCGTCTCTGCGCCACCACCTCAAGTCATGCCCACTACCCCTGTCGCTTCCCCCCCTGCCCCTACCACCATGGCCCCTCCCCCGAACGTTGCTGCTCCACCCATGGGATCTCCCCCTCCCCCTCCTCCTGCCCCAACCACCATGGCCCCTCCCCCCAACGTTGCTTCCCCACCCATGGGATCTCCCCCTCCTCCTCCTCCTGCCCCCACCACCATGGCCCCTCCCCCGAACGCTGCATCCGCCCCTCCCCCTGCCCCGGCCACCATGGCTCCTCCCCCCATGGCGTCCGGACCCGTGTCTTCTTCTCCCCCTCCCCCAGCACCTAGCTCTCCCCTGGCCCCATCCACCACCCCCACCATGGCGCCTCCCCCAGCCCCGACCATGACCACCCCTCCCCCACCACCAAGCTCCCCTCTTGCCCCATCCACCACCCCCATCGTCGCACCCAGCATGGCGCCCCCCCCTCCCCCTCCCATGACCACTCCTCCCCCTCCCCTTTCCCCCACCAATGCGCCAAAGCTCGCTCCCTCCGCTACCCCTCTGTCGTCCCCTCCCGCACCCCTTCCCAGAGCCATGAGCCCCCTGACCATTGCCCCAGCGCCTGCCCCCATCGAATCTTCACCGGTAAGCTCGCTCGCTCGCTCCACCTCGTCCATTTTCTCGTAGCATTTCAGTGTCGTGCTAAAAGGCTGTCATTTCCTCGACTGTGAATTCGTCCAATTGCCTCGGCTCTGATGGTTTCGTTGTGTGCAATTTCAGCCGACGACCAATGACGGAGTGGTGGCCAGCCCTGTGACATGGACCACGGGTTTGGTTGTGGCCGCCGGTGCCTTCCTCGCAGTCTGGGCTTGATTTCTCATTTTACCACGACATGTAGGACACCCGAGGTGCAGCAGGAGGACACATTCGCCATTGCGATGTGAATGGGGCCTAACCCCATCCTACACCTTGAAATTCATCCCTCTAGGACTTGATAGAATAGAATATACATTGCTATACTCCTCGATTTCCAAAAATATCGTTTTGTTTTTAGTCGGGTAGCTTTAATGGCTCCTTATAAAGGATAGGATATACATAATTTCGTAGAAAAAGATACATAGAGTAGAAGCAAAAGCTGAAAGCATTCTTCAACTTCATACAAACTGACGGCGAGGATTCCATCAGCAAGATCTTCCTCCTCGTCATCTGAAAAAGCTAAATGGAATCTCGATTCCGCGTGAGAGCAAGCAAGTAGCAAGCAAATAAGAACATGCATATTTGCTCTTGCCATGTAGCTGAATCACACCCATTCTTTAAGCCTTCAGCTGTCCATTGACAACTGACAATAAGGCCAAAACAATAAAAGTGTACTCGGATCGCTTGAAAAGATTACAATCTCTTTGCCTTATTCCTCATCGGATCTCACATGGTGGACGTTATGGTGGCAAATCTCTGAGTTTACATACATTGTCAAATTATTTTATGTGAAACTCAATCATGGATTAGTTACTTATGTGGATGTCACATGGTTGTATACACTAGTGATCAATGTGAACGTTTCATGTGCATTGAGATTTACTGGAACAATCTTCATACAAGTTGGTAGCCCTAGCAATATTGTACTTTTGGATGTGACAAATCGGGAGAACGCCTTGCACACATCTTGGTGATGGTAGGGTGATTATCCTTACTCACCAACAAGGTAGTATGAGGAATAATGTTTCGTTACAAGATTAATCTTTATAAGTTGAAGACTCCCCTTCAAGGTAAATAATTATAGATATTGTGGTGTACTCCTTTATAAATTTATTAAAATGGTTTTAAATTAATAATATAAACCATCTATTTTCTAATAAATAGGGATTTGTCAAGATAAATGTACTAACTTGTAATGCTTATAATGTACTAACTTTTACATCCAAACATGTACCTCATGCTTGTGTTGTTTCATTTCATCATATGCATGAAAAATAACGTCTATCTCTTTGTGTACCATGAATTTGCCAATTATCAACAGGATTCTGAAAATCAAGAGATCTAAACTCAGTGATAAAGGTGAGATTACAAACAAGAAAAAGATCAAATTACACATGTACAATGCGAAATTAACGGAACAAATGAACAGAGTTCAACAAAGTTGGCCAAAAAACACAAGGACTTGAAGTTAAAAAAAAAACGAAAGAAAAGTTATGATAGCAACATATATGTCAGAAACAAGAAGTTGCATTGTCGAAGAAGTCTGAAAAGAAAGAAAAGAAATCAGAAGTAGGTTATTGTGGAGTGAAGTATAAATATGAGTTTTTTTTCAAAGTAAATATTGTCAGTAACTCATGAAGTCCAATGTGTAATAGGTTATATTACATGAATATTACTAGTCCTCATTCGATTATTTCAATCCATAATAACATACTTCATTTGTGATGTGAATGATTTTGATATTATTATATCATCAATGTGCGTTGTATAGAATAATATTATCCTCTAAACGGTTAAATTTGATGGCATTGCTTTATAAATCAAGTAAACCAAAGCCTTATGAGTTTAAACTTTAGTAATTGGTCAATTTGATGCTTATCAAAAGATTTGAAATGACTTGATAATGATTTTTCAATGATATGTATATCTTCATGTGATCAAGTCTTTATCAATCAGTGTATAACTTCAAGGATTTATATGGACATTGATGATTAAACAGACTATTTTCCTCTGAAAATAAATAAAATTGATAAAAAAAATTGAGTCAATAAGTTTCATTTATGAGATTAAGATATCCTGTTATTGTGATTAATTAAGACTAGATCTTTTACAAAAAAGCATGATAATCTTCTATGTCATCATAAAATTTTAATCAAAAATATTTTTGCACAACCGCTTAGAACTATTTGTTGAGATTCATTACACTGTAGCTGATTTGTACTATCTTGAGTGTAAGAATATTTTTAATAGATAATGTATTATTATAAGAATTTATATTATGAATATAGTTTTTTTAATTTGTATGAAAATATTTTCTATATTGTCTAACGTTCAACAAGATCAAAATTGATCTTTATTTTGCAAATTGTATGTTGATGGTTATATTAATCTGGAAAAAAACTTTAAAAATTGATTGGTAGATATACGATCATATGAATCTATAGTGTATGATTTTTTTTTGTTGAAAAATTGATATTGTTAGATTCTAATGATATGGTTTGGAAGAAATTTTATTATAATATAATCTCATAAAGATATTCAAAAATAAGTTTTCAAAATATTTGCCCACAGATTTGATCATATGCATTAGTGATTCGTTTTTACTATATGTTATTGGAAAATAAAATTTGACACATGCCATTTGTGAAATGTTTTTATATGTGATGCATAGCAATTATGTGATATGAGAAATAAAAAGCATAATACTAATCTAGATAGTTCACAAAATTAATTTTCTCTGAAAAAAATATATTCAATCGTATTAATTCATTTTGATTCATTTGTAGAGAATTACTTGATGAAACCCATCCAAGATGCAAAACATTTGAGTAGACCCCAAACAATTGATTTTTATGATGGGATATGCATCCAGTACCTGGAGCCCAATTGCGAGTTCATGGAAAGTTTTTTGTTGTACCTGAGAGCTTTGAATGGAGGTTGATTAATGTTGATCCAATCTTGACCTCGTCTGCAATTGATTTGGGCATGACTTAGAAGATCACATAACAGTTAAATGCAAGACATCTGATAGTGCTATGCCGTTAGCCTATAAGAAGTTGTATAAAAAGGACGTGAGGTCTGGAAGATAATTTCATATTCTTTTCTGCAATAACCCTAGGCCTCGACAAGATCAAGTAGAATATCTTTTATTGATCGATAAGAGGTAATAGTCAAGTACAAATGTGTAAAGGTAATCAATGGATAAAGTAGAGTATAGAGTAAAGGTAATTTCAATTTATCTACCCCTTACTAGGATAATTACTTCTTACCTTGGAGTTGCCATGTAGCTAGCATGATGCTGGCCACAATTGTTTGCAAAGTGTGAAGTATCGTGCCACGATACTTCATACTTTGCAACAAGAATATATTCAACGGTCCACGGTTACCGTGGGCATATTGATCTGTCGAAGGTCCGAGTGATCAAGAATCAAGATGAACGACGCCAACGATGTCGACACAATTTTGAATAGCATTGCCCAGTTTGACGACAACACTGAAGAAAAAAATAGCAACTTTGCGGACCTGATATCAGTGATGACCTAAAGCACTTCCAAGCTTAAGCAACGAAAGCTCAAGTCTCCCTTGGATGTATGTCCACTATTGGTAATTGAGCAATATCTTAAAGAAACAAAACAAACATAAATGCATGTTATGCAAAATATGGTATTGCCAGAAGACCAATGCGTCAGAATGGAAGTTACATTTGAAATCGGCACACGAAGTCAAAGATAGTGAAGCATCTTACTCTAAACCGCTCATCAAATGCTTGACGTAGTTTACGATCGACAAAATCGTGTTCTCGGAACCTGCACTACAAAAATATGAGAATGATGTTATAGATTACATCATCAACGGTGAAGTGATCTTGCACGCTTATGGTGGCGAGCGATTCAAGACGATGGTACGAACCGTCATCATCGCGAACGATTTTAAAGCGAATTACGAAGCTCTATTGCATCTTGTTTTCCATGCTAATGTTAATTTTAAGCAAATTGCGTGTTGCATTGCTGGCTGGTTGAATCGGAATCTCAAGGGTTTCTATGTGATTACCGCACACTGGATCGACATTGAAGCGTTGTCATCAAAGAATTTTTTACTCACGATCCTAAATGTAGCATTGACGACGGCACCGGCGTCGGTCGACGTGTTGGAATTACCTTTTTTTAACATCTGAACGGTATTGGCGGCGGCGTTCTTTCGCAATTGTTGAACGTGGTCAGCAATAATGACTCTTACGCTGTTGTTGTTGTAAAGTGTTTTTTCCGGTTGATCAATGCATTAGTTGGCTATGAGTATATCTCCAATTGCAATCACGTGCGTTGCGCCAATCATTCAATTCAACTTGTTGTTATTAAAGGTATCTTTTTCACCAAGAATTCAATGGAGTTGTTGAGCAAATTGCTCATCAAGATTCATTGCAGCAAGGAGCCGACACACCACGATTCTTCAATGTGTTGAAATTCCACGCATTAGATGTGGATTGACGCTTTTGATAAATGTGTTGGCATTCACAGTATCATGGAACAGTTTGCAAGTGATATCAGTTATTCCCTCTCAGTGATGATCTATGGCAGACAATCAACGGCGTATTTATTTTTCTGCGCGCGCTGCGTCAAATCATGCAAAATCTTGCCGTAGATCACAAACTGATGCTTCAATTGCTGGCCATATCCATTGTTCATCTTGTGAAGCATTGCAAAACGAGTGAGCTGCAACTGTTGGCAATTGATCTCAAAATTACGGTAATCAAAATGTCAAAAAAACTTTAAAAATATAAAAAAGTGCTGGTGCTAGAACTCGCCACAGTTGCAAACTTCCTCAAACCACAGATATCAAAACCATCTAATTTTTTGCAATTGAATAAGTTGGCAAAATTCATTTCATTCACTCTTCAACGTAGCTACTCGGTCAAGTTGCAGTCTTGCAATTTAACTATTGAACTCAAAGAGCCAATCAATACGTTCTTCAAAGTCATGTTCCATCGAGAATATGAAAATAACATGCTCGATGAATTAGACCAATTTCTATCAATTGACGTCGTCTAGTATGAGTATTTTATCGACATCTTGTATTGATGGTCAATCCGCATGGAAAATCTAGATGGACACAATCAAATGATCATGGATTATTTTGGAATGTCAGTGACGTCAACGTCATCTAAGCATGTCAATAGCTTCGCTGGTCGCAAGTTTATCAGCTCATGGCAGTCTCTATTGTCATCGGTGTTCATCATGACCATGTGCTTGCACTTATGGATGGATGCAAAGATACTTAAGATGCTAGCAAACCGAACGGTAATAGCTGTGGCAATTGGAATGCTAACGAAGAGAAGCTCAACGATAAGATTGAAGACATCGTCAATTGATTGGATATTGAACATCATCGTGCACATGCTCAACAAACAAGTCGAAGAAATGGTCTATGAGTCCAACTTGAACTGAAAAGTTCTCAAATAAACATTGTGAAAATTGTGTTGGCAATTTGACTTCTGTAATAATTTATTCTTATTAGGGTAAATACCCAATCAATAGGGAAAGTAAATGTATGTGAAAAAATGACCATTGTGGTAAAGCTAGGAGTAAAGTGAAGCTAGAGGACATTTTATTATCTCTTACAGTTTATAACAATTACCTTACTCTCTTGAGATCTAAATAACACGATCATGCAATTTGATCATTACAATATATAAATCATACGAATCATGAGTTTAACCATAGATTATCATACAAGGGATGAGTTTAACCATAGATTATCATACAAGGGATGAAAAAAAGTTCAATTCACCACAACCGCTTGTGTTGTATCAACAAGTCAACTTGAGATGCCAGTATTTCATGCTCTAGGTTCATGCACCATTGAAACAAGCTAAATGGAGATACTATTATATACTAGAATTATTAATTTCCGAGATATCAAATCTCCAAACCTCTTTGACATAATGTCAACATTCCTAACTAAAATTATTATTCGGCTCTCACTATGATCTGCAATTTTGAAATTGAACACACACATTAAAAGATATTGTATGAAAACATGTATGATGGTGGACTGTTGATGGATTTTATTGGGTAAAATGAATTGTTTGGGATCTACTCAAGTGTTTTAAGTTCGGAATGAATACCATCAAGTAATTTTTTTTACTCATATGATATTATTACTCACAACTTGCATATAAAAAAATTGTTAAAAAAATCATCATAATTGAAGGAAATTGTTTTCAACAAGTTAATTTAGTTTGTAAAGATTCATACATGCTGATTTGAAATGTATATTATAGATTCTAAATTTTTATACCAAGATTTTTTACGACAAGAAAATAAAAATACACGCAATGATCATGTCATTATATAAAATGATTTTGACAAGATATTTCTGAAAAAAATATTATTTGATAAATTAATTTTTTTCATAAATATTTCTTTTATTTCCAATATTATATAAAAAAATTTAATTTTAATTTTTTACTTAATTTTTACGAATTAGAATGTTAAATTTAGTTTTTTTAAGATTTTGATTGATTTATCAGGGTTTTTAAAATTCTTTCAATATTATATATGATAATTTCAATCCATAAAATATTTTATGAATTAAAAATTTTGGATTTTTTATCAAAAAAATTTTCTATTAAATCGAGTGTAATTTTTTTTTTTAAATAACACATCACCGTTTTCAATTTACGTATTGAAAGTTTTTTCTTCAAGGATTTCTTTTATTTCAACATAAATTTTTTTCGGCATATACCAATATGTAACTCAATTCAAATCTGTCGTGATGCAAATCATTTATTTAATCAGCACAAAGTATATCTTCTAGGAACTGAAAATTATGAGAAAAATTTGAAATTTGAGATCTGAAATGAAATGATCTGGCCGTGAAGATTTAAAATTTTTGTAAAATAGATTTTATTACTCTAACTTTATAATATACCATTTTTTAAGATGAAAAATATGACCATATTTAAAAAAAAATTAACTGATGTTCACAAGATAATAAATTTTGCCCGAACATGAGCAATTCGTGTAATTAATTAGTATCATACATTACTGTATACATGTGAGAAGTTTATATATAAATATTTCAATTTTTAATTTTTAATAATAATATTATTTTGGAAAATTGAAAAATCATTATGAATTTTTATTATGATATTTTGTTTACAACAAAATAATTGAAAAGACCATAGTATACACCTAAAAATTTATGTTTTTGTAGTTTTCAAAATTGAATGTAATAAATCAGGAAAAAAATATCTGGTTTTTTTTTGCGAAAGAACTCAAATCTTCACAATCTATCTAGATCAGACGTTGTAAGTCTTTGTAAACTTAGATAAACATTGATAAAAATAGTTATATTTATTTTTGCTTTATCTTATTTTCTTTTGAAAATTATAGTGATAACAGATTACTAAGAATTTATCTAACAGTTTTTAAAAAAAATATTTAAAAAACTATATTGTCTATATATTTATGCACATGTTATATTGCAAAGAAAAAAGAATATCAAGTTATTTTTAGAGCAATTCACAAGGTTTTCCTATTGTGTTATTCAACTGCTAGTCAGAGCAACGCCTAACAAGTTAGTAGATATCTAAGCTCTAAAACGAGACACATCATGAGGACTTGGCCCATATTACTCGGTTGGTGTAAACGTCCATGAAATGGTCGGTGTCCTCTTTCCGCTATATAATTTCTTACTTTCTAAATGTTACAAGATCAAATGTGTCCTAACATTTCAAATGAATATCAGGAGCCACAAATTGGTCCTTTTTTATATAGAACGATACAAAAAAGGACATTTCCTTTTCGGTGAGGAGACACAAATAGAATTCTGAACCTGGAGAATGCATGCAATTCGTAGACGTGTCGTCAAGGCTGCGAGGACTGCGTCGCTACAGAACAGAAAAGCTCGACCAATGTGGACATTGTCGAGTAATGGCATAGCTCGATAATGGCGACAATTGGAGAACCGGGAGGATGCTTGACGTGAACACGCTTTGGTCTGCTGGGCTCGACCAATGTGGACGGCTGGAGGCTTGTTTTTCTCGTGGCCCGATATGCCGCAGGTGTCCTCGTCTGAACAGACATTCGGGTGGGATTCAAACGAAACCGCTCTCGCACCGACAGTTTCTAAAGTCTGATTATGACGAGGATGATGATGATGATGATTCCGTTAGGCAGCTTCAATGATTCCCTCGGTGAGTCCGGTTATGGCGACGAGTATTGTGAGATCGAGCGTCCGCAATCAACGCTGAGTGCCGCTCGTGGAGATTTCCCGAGTACACTGTAAAGTACAGCGAGTGAGTCACTGACATGCCACCGCGATCTCGGTGGCCAAATGGGAGACTGTTTCCAGTATCTCGCCCATGGCCGGGCCGACGAATGATCAACTCCTGCGCGAATCACTCGCGCAGAAGTTGGATCTATAGTATTGTTAACTGAGACCTGCGATTCGCTGCATGCGGACAATCGGGGCAACTACAGTGACCGACATATACATTATTCCCATGGAGCTGCCCTTTGTCATTGACCTTGACTCGCTCTAGTGCACGAGGAATGAAGCTTGCGTCAACATACGCTCGGAACCGGATCCTGAATCATCAATCTCAGACTAAAGACTACGGACTCCAGCAATCTATTTCATCGTTTTATCTGTGCACCAGGTTTGAATCAAGAGCAATCCGATGAAATCTCTCGTTTCATCGAACTCTGAGCCGAAAGCTGGAAATTGGCAGCTGGCTGGCTAGCGTTGCCGCTAATTCGCAGCAGCCTCTTGGGATCTACATCCGTAAAGTGGACATAGCCGGCCGGCCTGGTGAAACGCACGAGTTGGTAGCCTTTTTAAGTCCTGCCTTGGTGTTCCATTCCAGGACGGAAGTGAAATCATGATGACTGCAGGGATTGAGTCCCGTGCTCTTTATTAAACTGTCGATGCTCAGGCTAAATAAGAGAAACAGAAATAGGCTCAAGATTTGTGCCGTCGGCGGTCTCTTTGAGTTATTCCTTGAAATTCGAAGGTCTGCGTGTTTTCCGTTTTCAATGACCGTCTGAGGGATTCGGCAAGAGATCATTCGATCCCCGAGATGCGCACGGGAGTTTTATCTCAACGATGCTTTGCTTTGCTCTGCCTGCCTGCACCGCAACTTCGTCTCTTCAAAGTCCACAATTGGACGTCTTCGAACGAGATACCCGACGCCATTCTCATGATTCCGCACGCATCTGGACAGGGTATTATTCGTTCCAGCCATCAGGTTCCGTGTCTTTGGTTGGACGTAAGGTGCCGGGAGAGACGATCGACCGGGAGCTCTACCCGAAGCCACGTGATGTATTTCTAATAACGTGACGGATGGATTCTTCGACCTGCAAATGATTAGTTAAGCGCACGGGATTGTCTTTGGGATGCTTTGCTTCTGCCGGATTCGAGATTTTCTGCTCTTGTACTCGAAGTCTACCATCGCACATCTACGACGAAATACTCGTACGCCTTTCTGATGATTCAGGTTTCATCTGGACAGTGATTCGCTCCAGATTGAAGGTTCCGGGGCTTTGGTTGGACCTCTGGATGGATGCGATGGAATCTTCGAGTTGCAAATGATTACTTAATCGCACTTGCCCGATTCCCAGACCCAGACGTGAGCCGAGCCGAGGAGTGGAGAGCTGATGATGACCAAACTGCTGCTGACGACCTCGAATTGCTTTAATGTTGTGAGACTCGGAGCAAACTTCTCTTGATGGCTGCGAGCACGTGTTACCGAGCCCTGTGCGAAAACTGATTGATCGGCTTGGGTGAAGATTCAGAACCATACCAATCAAATGATTGCAGAATCACTGCGCAGGTTGATGCCGATCTCAGAGAACCAACTCCTTCGATGTTTCAGCTGGCCAGCATATGGAGCGTCGTGGACCTTTTGAAGATATTAGAGGTGCCTTGACGAACCTCAGGTGGGGGACCACAGAAAGAAGCGCGAAGATACTCATAGAGAGTGGGCTCGATCAGAAATAGAAACCTTATTTATGTCTCCAAAGGTTGAGGGCACCCTTACTTATGTGGACCCAACTCCTTCACAGTAAACACTACTTTAGTCATCGGATGTCTAATTTGGTAGGCCACGGGGCTATGGAGGCGCTCTGAATCAACAACTCAGAAAGAAGAAGCTTGCATGAATCTCGGGTAACCGCAGCCCATGTTACAAGATCAGACTGTTGTGTACGATGACCATGTGTGCTGAGCCGAGGAGATTCGCACTTTTGAAGGCAGGCTTCTTGGTGCTGTTGCTAGTCATGATTCCTCTTCCTGTTGCTAAAAGCGCGAGGTTACCTGTGCCAGATGTGCCAATCATGACAACCAAGGGTTGCAAGACTTGCAGTTACTGGCTAACTTCCCCGGAGGAGTGCCAAGGACATTGGCCATCGGACAGATGTTACGATTTTCTCCGGAGAAGTTTGAAAGAGTGCCCAGATTGCAGAACCAATAACCACATTGATCTGCTCCTGTACTGTATTGCAAATTCTCGACTCAGCCGATCTGAGATTCTTGAGGTAGGATGTTGGGCTATTGCAGAAGACTTTTAGGGTAGGGCAGATTGAGTGTAGCCCGGGTGGACTCTTCTCCACTTGCAGATCCGTCGATACTGATGATTGCACATACTCTCTGAATCTGGAATTGGCTCAACACATGCGAAGTAACGTGCACTTGGTAGCTGCCAGCGCTCTAAGAGAAAGCTGCAGCTGCTGATCACATAACACCAGCTTGATCATGAGAGCTATCAGGATCAACAAAACGATTGTGACCACTACACCATATAGATGAATCGGGACCACTGAAGGCAAGTGGCACCATGAGATCGATGGAAAGCGATGACTTGCTCCGGATTCAGCTTCATCTCACTAATAAAATTACGGAGGAGATTTGTTGTTACAGTCATCACACTTGCTTCTAGCCTTTGCTTAAGCGTTAGAAGGTCTATCTAGATGCTAGGTGCTCAGAAGAATCTGTAGGAGGTCAAGGAAGTTGAGACATCCTGCTTAAAAGCTGGTTTCACGACAGTGACTGTTGAAGAGGCTCGCCCACTTGCAAATACATAGCTGCTACATCTCGGAGGCACATTGCAACCTCGCGAGTGTTCCAGCTCACTGTCATGAGTTAGTCCATTGACCCCAAGAAATACGCCTTCATCGTTTCTGTGGTGTTAGGGAATAATTCCGGTCAAACCATATCAAAAGAACGACGAATTAGAGCGGCATCTCGAAAGCAGCAACGGCCTTCGCCTTATGAAAAACTGTGTCCTTTCTGTGCTAACCATATGCACCGTCGGTAGTTTCTGTACGAACTCTCTCTCCCTCTCTCGGTATCCTCTTATCTTCGTCCTTCGGCATCCACTATTCAAGTCAACGAGAACCTTCTTAGCTTGTCCGTTGCAAACTTGTTTGTCATGCTATTGGAGAACATGCTCCATGTACTGTACTGGAGTAGCCCTTCCTGCTATAGACCTTGTCTAATGTTGTCAGACCTCGAACTTGGCTGGGACTTTGTCCTTTCCCCTATTGAAACCTTCTTTATTGTGGGTAGTTAAAGTGGGACAGCTCTGCCAGAAATCCGAAGAATTTCTCTGCAATACGCAGCTGTAGGCATTCGACCTTGGACTAGTCGTACTTCTAGACATACAAACATTTGGAACATATAGCTGCTATAGAACGAGTTCAGATACCTCGCTGTCCCCTGTCTTGTTTAGCGGAGGGAGAAGCCGAATCTACTTAACGCTATGGAGTTATACTTGAAGGTTTTAGAAATGATAAACATGCACACATGAAAGATGAACATTGGAGATTGTAAAAGATGATTCAGTACACACTCATAGACTAGCCTTTTGTTGGTTGTACTCCTTAGTCTTCACGCAAGTCAAACATAGCTATAGTTTAATTTGCACCATGTGCCTTCCCGGCGTGCCAGATTTCTCTCTATGCTCTTTATCGATTCCTTGTGTTGTTCATACATCACGTCTCAAATGAATCATGACTCATGAGTAATTTGAGTCATGAGCAACAGCTGAAGAATCTCTCAAGTAAGATCACATCATGGAAAACGATTTCCATGATGTAATCTTTATAATATATTTAGGGGATACAGTATCCCCTAAATATAGCTTTCTTCTTCACAGAAAATAAGAATATTGAGAACTCTTATTTTCCTTATAAGTTGTCTGAAGATAAATTTTACCCGAAAAAATTACGCTATTTGTTAGAAATTGCTACATTGGCTGGGAAGGTGTAGTATCGAATTAAAAATTCAGAGGAAAAGTGCGATGGACATTGGGCAATGTCCACATGGAAAAGTGCGAAAAGGAGCATATTCAATCGACGCGTGGGGTCCTCATTTCTACTTAGCTAGCCGCAAACTCCGTGAAGGTAAGTAGAAAATTCGTCCCGGCGTGTTCTCTCGTCACCTCACATCAGGTTCCACATGATTATGAAGATGTATACCAGCGGGACTTGTGAGGCCAACTCACCAAGAAGCACGTGCTTCTTGGTGAATAAATTCAGATTGCAACAACTGCTGAAATTATAAAGGTAGCATCTAGTAACATTTTATTTGAAATATTCAATATTTCTCTATAGGTATTTTATCTATGATATCTTGTATCAATCAGGCTGTCCTCGTATTTAACATTAAACTCTACCAGAATTTAGCATGTGTTTCTTCTCGCTTCTTTGTTGCATAAATCCAGAATGCAACACAATCTGAAAATATAAAGATAGCATTTAGTATCATTTTATTTGAAATATTCAATATCTCTCTACAGGTATTTTATCTCCGATATTTTGTATGAATCAGGCTGCCCTCGTATATAATATTAAACTCTATGGGGATTAAACACATGTTTTTCCTCACTTCCTTGTTGATTAGATCCGGAATGCAACACAACCTCAAAATATAACGGTAGCATTTAGTAACATCTTTTTTGAACTATTCAATATTCTCTACAGATATTTCATTTCCATTATGTTGTATGGATCAGGCTGTCCTCGTATATATGATTGAATCCTACGGGGATTTAGCACATGTGTCTTCTCACTTTCTTGCTGGATAGATCCAGAATGCAGCATAACCTAAAAATATGAAGGTAGCATGTAGTAACATTTATTTGAAATATTCAATACTTCTCTACAGATATTTTAACTCCGAAGTTTTGTATCCATCAGAATGTCCCCGTATCTGCAAGGTTGCGCGAATTTGTGCTCTCGGTGATTATTTTCCCAGCGACAACAATAACGATTGTGATAAAGAATTGTTGTAAAGCTAATGCTCGTAAGGGAAGCAGCAGCTATTGTTCAGCGTTGTGTTCTTTGGATAAAATTGTACAATCTGAAACCAATTAAAAAAATTCAAAGTCGTGGTTTATCCAATGAGATGCTGAGTCGGAATAAATTGCAACATATAATTGAGTTACCACCTCTGGGCTCATCAGATGAGTGACCTTTCATGCACACCTGGCTTGTGGATTTCAGTAGATTTTACTGAAATTATTGCCATTTTAACTCTGGAACACAAACCTTGAAGGACTAGATCATATGTCTATCAAGAAAAAATGCAGTGCATGTAAAATGCAACTAATTTACAAGGCCCACGGAATGATGCCTTCTTGCATATAACAGTTGTCCATATCGGGTAAGTGCAAGGACGGCTGGAAGGTCGTCCGCCTTAGAGACCGAAGGATTTCAGTCGGTTCTCCTCTCTTCTTCATTCTTCATCAGGCGTTCTGCAGCGATCAATCATTCGAGTCCGGAAGTGTGTGCAGCAACATCAGCAGCCTTTGCCTCGCCCGGACCAGGTAGATAGGACCAGTGGGGATCCGAGCAATAAAGCGCTTGCTTCACATCTCTACCCTCAGTGTACTTTCGGTGCTCTGTTCTTTCTACGGTCACTTTCGGTGGTACTCAGTTGGTTCCCTTTACTCTCTTTGTCATATTCGACCACTTTTCTTCAGAAGTTCAGCTTACTCCTGAAAATCGCAGGGACGTATGTTTTTACTCCGGTCACAAGAGTCCAATCACAAGAGGACCCTGATATTTTCAAACCTAAAACCCTCCCACAACAACTACTATAAATAGATATCTTGAAATGGTGGTAAGAGGGACTTTGAAGGGAAGGTGAAATCTCTGCCATAATAGAAGACGGAGGAGGCTCTGAGAGACGAAGAGAAGAACTCCATCTGGAGAACAGATTGCTAAAATCAGTGAGGAGTTCAGAGGCGCGAAAATAGTCGAGGTAATCAGTGGGTAATCAGAGATTTTATAAGAAAGGAAAACAGGCTTGTGATATCATATTACCTTGCATTGAATTATCCACGTCAAAGTTATGACAGTTGAGGATATGATGCAATCTGTAAACACGTTTCCATTGACTAATGGTCCGATCGCTCAGAATAAGCATGTTGGCGCAATACTTGCTCAGGAAGCAAGAACAAACGTCCAGCTCTCACTCCATTAACGTCTGCATTGGACGTATCCTGCTCTTATCGTCGACCACAAATTTGACGTTTCTCGTAATTGGAATTCACTTCATGCATGCCCTTCTTGACCAATCGACAACTCTCTTTCATTGAACCAATCCTAGCACCAGATTCAATTTATTGCCATATCTACAGGCACATGGGTCCCTTTCTAGACAGTATGGCGGCCCTCTGCTCTCTTTACTCCTCTGCTTTTGTTTCTTAAATGTCGTTCTCCGAGAGATTGTGTTATCTCTCTCATTCCTGGTGGTAACGGGAAAACTTCAGTGGCTAGAGTTTCTCGGCATGAAGGATTGACCTGCTCGACAAATGAACGAAGCATTTGCGCCCTTTGTTCTTACGCAATTACGCATTATCTTGCTTCTCGTGATCTATATTCCCAAAAAATCTCTTTGTCAATAGTGTGTCGGCTTGACATCATCTGGTTCAGTTTGGACCAATGGAGCTTCGTGATGTCTTATTCGTCGTTGAATAATTGACAATAATTCCAATTGTCAAGGTTCGCTATCAGTAACGAATATCATAGAACATGACCTACAACGAAATATCTTCTGTGGAATCTTAGATTAATCTGAATTCTATTTTTCTACAGGCTAGGAGCATGAACTGAATACGAAAATATGGCTGTGGATCCTGAGTAAGTTGCTCCCTCCATGTACTCTTTCATGCTCATAGGAAAGAGCGCATGCAGCTGCACTGAGAAGGCCGATAGTTCTCTCTCATCTCTCCATGTTCCCTGATTTCGTTTCTCAGAGTACATGCCTTAAAGGTACCTGAGATTCCGGGGACTGCAATACGCCAGGACAACACATGTGTTCCATAGTCCAACACATGGTCCGTTGTCAAGTTCACGTCAGACTTGTGCGTACGTGTTGCTGTCGCTGTGTTCAGTATAGTGCATACAGGTGTGGCAATACATGAGTCGTCAGTGGGTGCGTTGTGATTCCCGTAGTCACAAATTACCAACTGGATTCGTATTGACAATCTCACAGTACAGTAATAAAAATTTCCCGCATAAACGAATTGGCTCAGTCATGCGTCTTCGGGGCAACAAACTCAGCAAGAATGTACGTCGAAACTTGTGCCGATCGGTTAGAGAATCAATGGCCGAAATCATCATCGGATTTTCAGAATGCCATTTGACAAGTGAATGCATCATAACGAACAGATCTGAACAGAACTTACGTTCGTTCAATCTTTCCAGGAAGAAGATAACAGTAACAGCTACCGAAGTGTCAATTTCGCTCTGCACCATGCGGGAAAGAATGGAAGAAGGATATCTCTCCATGTTTTCATGAGTGCATACATCTAATGGCTCTCGAAACTTCCTATAGCTACATTATAGCTTTTGTTTCCATGTAAGCAGGGCAAAAACATGTCCAGCTCAGATGTAAACAGGACGGGACTCGAATGGTGGCTGCTGCCTACTAGACTAGTCTGTGATCGGAGATCGTCGGCATGCAGAAGATTGACAAGAGTCCTACAGTGGCCGCGAAGAGTAGAGGATCTACGTGCAGCGGGAGATACTGTCCTCTACACTTATGGTGATGCAAGAATCTAGCTTCTGCATCGAGCAGTGTCGTGCACACCGTACGAGGTCTACTAGGAACTAGGGTGTTAATTTAGATGTACTTCGTACTGATACTGTGTTATATGCTCTGCGGTGCTGCTTGATCCACGAAGTCCTTGAATCCTTCACCTGAATCAAGCGGACAGGACGGGGCAACTGAAATTAGTTGCCTAGGCTGGTAATATTCGCTCGATTCTCAACCGGTCTTGGAAGAATCACACTCATTCTGTCGTTTTGATGGAATGGAATCTACACTACCCATCCTTCATGTGCCTCTTACGTGTATGCTCGATGCTTGGAGGTCTTGTGAGAAGGCTGTGTACATCCTCACGTACAACTCGGACCAACTGCGAGTCGTTCTCAGTGCCAGTAGTCCCGGAGAATAGTTGATGCAAAGCTTTAGTTTGTCAATTTGAAACCGGTCTCCGTCCTCCAGCTGAGATCCCGACTGGTATATCTCAATGCTAACATCAAATCTGCAACTACACGAAACCCGCAGAGTTTAATAGGAGTGCATGTCGTCGTCAAAAAATTCCCTTCAACAGGCAAGACGTGCTAGAATCAACGGGGTTTCAATCTTGAATTCTCTAGACCCAGTGGATGGATCTTCAGAATTGTCTGTCCGTCGGGCAGTAAACTTGACAATTATTTGATTGAGCATATTGATTAGATTTTAATGTTTTCAGTGATTTTTGTCCATGAGGAGATTGTGACCTTCCAGCCGCAATCTGTACTTGACTCAAATACTTCTCTAAGGTTGCACGAGGAATGCTGTATCCTCAATCCGCATCCTGAAGTCAACGATCTTAATGTAGTTCCCTTTGCAAGCTCGACCACCGAAACTGGACCGACCAGATTCACAGATAGGCACAATCGGCAGAGTGATCTCCGATGGAAACCTCGCAGGCCGAAGCTCCAATATCCAATCAGAATTATTTGTACAACCTAAACACTGACAAGCGACACCCTTCTCAGACCTATCTCTTACACGGAGCGTATCTTCATGATCCGTCCCGGTGAGATTTCTCAAGCAATTCCCTTATCAGACCGATCTCTTACACGGAGAGTATCTTCAGGATCAATCCTGGAGAGAATTCTCAAATCTTCACATCAATGAATGACTATGGCTCGTGGTTCTAGAACAAATCGTGCGACATGTTTTAAGATGGCTCATGCACGTGCACTCGGCATGCTAGTCAAGTTGCAAGGGAACGAGAGGAAGGGCTACCACGGAAGGAAAGGAATGCAATAGAGATTGGACGTTGCGTCCGGATTCCCGGCTCAATACCGCCAAGGGTGATGCGACAGAGGGAAGTGATAATTGAGGTGGTGACCCCGATAAGACCGATAGCCTTCGCTTGACGTGCTCGGGCTCTGACAGTGTCCTTTATCTCTGAGCCAAGTTGTGGTCGACGATAGAAAAAGCGCCGCTGCGGATCACCGTGGGGACAATATTACAGCAAACTTCTGATGCCCCAGGGGGTCACGATGGGCGCCCGTGGGTTGCCAACCTAGAAGCGAGTCCTCCGTCAAGAGTATCTTCAGAAGAGACACTAAGAACACAATACAAACCATAGCTGTAAGATGATTAGAGTTAGCGAAGTTCGGTGTTCAGTGGCGGCCAGTTACATTTTCACGTGAGGCTCAGAAGAGACCGATATGATCTACCGAACTGGATTTCTACCATGCACATCGTTCGCCTTTCTTTGAAAGATATATGTTTGCGGACTTCGTTCCGATTTGCTTAAAGAATAATTTTTCCTTTTGAAAAGTGTTCGATGCCACGGAACCACAGCCCTTCCGGTCTGCCCTACCCTAAATAAAGATCTCCAGAACGTCGCTCGCTTCTGATTCGCTGTCACTCCAGTGAGTGGCGATCTTGCGACATGTCAGAGCAGTCAAAAACGGATTGGGCCATTCTTCCTTTGTCGCAAGATCAAGCTTTGTGTCGCACATTTCCTCCGGATATATATTTTAATTTGATTAGTAATTCATATATTTTCCACGGTGTCTATTTTAAGGCACTTGTCCTGGACCATAATGACATTTTATATTTATAAACAGGTGGATAAGCCGAGCTTTTGTTGTCAGATGGTCGCAGGATACAAAAATTAGCGATCCTGCCAGTGATCGTTCGCAGAGAAATTTAAATTGAATGTCAATGTCAAAATTCTCGTTGTCGCAATGTGTTAAAAACCTGTAACTAGCCGCACTCGAGTAGCCCACAACCAATTCAAACGTTGATTGTTCCAGTCGCGGTTGACTGTGAGCCCGAGTTCTATCATGTTCAGTTTGCCCCAACTTCCAAGCTCGAAATCGATCAGCATAATTGAACATATTGGGTCTCATCGATGATGAGAAACGATCAAGGTCGCTATTCTCCTCGGCCCTGCAGGCACTAATATGGGCTCGTGAGTGACAAGGAAAGGGAAAGCCACCTCCGAAAGGTGATCCATCAGTAACAAGTCGAGCTGAAACGACTGGACTTGAAACCGTGCGTCCCTTTTGTCCACTTGACAGAGGACAAATTGGATTTCTCCGTCGTATGCCGTCATAAAGTCTAAAGACTCCCGGCTTAGCCTACACCAGAGCCACCTGAGATCCCAACAAGGTCTGATCAGATATGAACAGCAGAAAAGACTTTCTCAGCATATACACGCTAGTCGGTACGAGTTTACGAATCCGTTGTGGATGAACCAGATTCAACAAAATGCTGCGATTTGTATCGGGAAATGTTGGCACCATTGAACCAGATAAATATTTGTATAGCAATAAAGTCACTACCGAAATAAATGTGCACGAAAATGTACGTCTAGTCAGATGAAAGTGACTCAGTGAGGCGACGCTAAAATCCCGCGAGTCCGAGTTCCTTATTTAATATCCGATGTCAGGTTGGATTTGTAGCAATCGCAAAGCCCCTCAAGACGAGCAATAAAACATTATAAGACACTAAATGCTGAGTTTGAGCATTTAGTGTTTCTTCTACGATAGGGGTTCAGCTGCCCCTACCTCGCCCTGATAGGAAGCAACCGGGTCCCTATATTATCTCAAATATTCGATGCAGCCCGTGACCTTCTTAGATAAAAAAAGTAAAGTCTGCACAACAGAAAAAAAGCGGTCAAGGACTCTGATAGAAAATGGACACCGTAAGGTCAAAACAAGTGGAAAATAAAACCCTCTCTGACAAATAGAAACACGCAATGTCCATTGGTAAGGTTGCCAAAATCACAAAACTGGTCGCATGTAATTATTTTGGCTTTGCTTCTGTCGTGAAGTCTTGGCGGGTTTGAAATGGGCCTAACAAGTGGCAGGAGAGCAGGGCGTTATTGTAATGAAGGTTCCAGACTAATGATGAAGAAACCACGAATTTATTTCCGGGCTGCACAGCAGCCTGTTCTACGGCTTTTAGTATAGCTTATTTCCCTAGCCCGTGCAGTGACTTGTCTCATTGCCTGGGGATTTTCGTCCGGACCTTCGAGGGTCAGACAAATGCAGTTTTCCCTCGGTGTAGCCCTAGACTCAGGTCTGTAATCTCAAGGTCTCCGAGCTTTTATGTAAGTACGACTTATGACTGGCACAGAGGCCCTCTTCTTCAGGTGGTGGCTCAAGACGTCATCAGCCTCGGAATATGACCGTGTAAGCGGTTGCTTTCCGTCGACTCGAGGACTTATAAATAGCGGGATCATGCTGCAGCTTAGCAGTCGATAGGTGCCAGACTCTGAACAAGCCTTGATATAGTGGAACCTTGTTCACTCCTCACATGCAGCACCACAAAAAACCCGTCCAGCCACACCCAGCTTGTTCTCAGGAGCATCAGGAATTAAGTTCTCGGGGCCTCGTCCAGGCGCGATATTTGCCCAGGATTGGCACTGAGCTTCGTCTGAAAACAAATCGTATCGAATCGTATCGTGTGAGTCTGAAGCCCAAGGCGTCGAACTGCATGACAGCATGTCTCCGTTCTTCGCGTCTTGATTCTCTAACGTGCCAACCGGACTGGACTCGCTATGGGATTTGGAACGGAGACGAATTCGATGGTGTGTCTAACACTGCACTTGTCCCTCCTCCCGTGTGGCAATTCTGAGCCAAAGCTGATCGCAAGCTGGAGAAACAAGGCTCTAAGCGAGTATCTGGTCGCATTCTTCCCTGAAAGAGTCTGATTTCTACTTCCAGGTGACTCCGAAGGATTTTCGCATAATCTGGGCACGCGCATTTCGTCTGGCCCCAGGCACCTCTAGCTTGAAACCAGTGTCTGCCGAGTTTGGACTAAGTAGTTGAATTCTCTGATTCGATAGCAGCTGATATTGGTCTGAACTATGACATCATCCATGGGGTTCCTATCTCTCGCCCAAGGGCGACCACTGCCGGTACCCACGGCGACTGCTGCAGCAGTGGATTCACACAGCTCGAGCGCCAGGTTTCCAGGCCTGGCCCAGCCTAAGATCTTCAACTATCGCAGCAGACCGAATTCGAAGAGCGACTGCCCGAAATCTCGTCAAGACTTGCACACTGTGAGAGCTACGTTGGCTACATCTCGGCCCTCTTCCTCGAAGGGCGGTGGAGAAGGGTCAGTCTGCTCACCGCCTGAGAGCACCAGCGTTGCCGTCGAGGACAGCCCCAGTCAGCGGCAGCTGGATCTGGACCTGAGGAGCACTTTGTCGTCAAGAAAAGGGGAACGCTTTGAAGAAAAGGTGTTGCCACCAGCCGCGACTGCAGATGTCGAAAGTCCACTGTCAGCAGCGAAAGGGATACGTGCTCCTCAGCAGCAGCTGCGGCGGCGGCGGGAGGACTCACCATCCGCGCCAGCAGCAGCTGGTCGCGGATTCTTCAAAACTCTGGCCAACAATTTGTGCAATGGGCTCGAGGATATTATTCGGAGAGGTGAAAACCCTCCAGCTCACGCAGATCCCAAAAACAGCGTCATGAATAAAAACACCTACTTCGCTCCCATACCCGATGAGACTCCCGTGTACCGAGACCTGGAGGTGACGGGCGAGCTCCCAGCTTGTATGGAGGGGGTGTACCTTCGCACGGGGCCGAATCCGCAGCTGACGCCGTCCGGAGGCTACTGCTTCTTCGACGGGGATGGCATGCTGCACTCGGTGCGCATCAAAGACGGCAAGGCATCGTATTGCGCCAGGTTCGTCCGCACGAGCCGATTCGAGCAAGAGCGGGCGGCTCAGCAGCCGCTGTTCATCAAACCTTTCGGGGAGCTGCACGGCATGTCCGGGATCGCGAGGATGCTGCTTTTCGGGCTGCGCGCCTCGCTGGGGCTGGTGGACGTGTCCAGGGGCTGGGGCGCAGCCAACACAGGTCTCACTTTCTTCGACAAGCACCTGCTGGCTATGTCGGAGGACGATTTGCCGTACATAATCCGCGTGAAGGAGGACGGGGATCTGGAGACTCTCGGGCGGTACGACCTGAATGGTCAGCTGTCTCGGGCCATGACCTCGCACCCCAAAGTGGATCCCGTCACGGGCGAGCTCTTCTCCATCACCAGCGACTTCGGTGCTGCACCTTATCTGAAGTACTTTGTGGTTTCGCCCGATGGAGTCAAGGGCCCCGACGTTCCGATCAACATCAAAGAGCCCATGATTGCCCACGACTTCGCAGTCACGGAGAACTACGCCGTGCTCCCGGACCTGGACCTCGTGATCAGCATGAACAGCATGGTCCTCGGCGGCGCGGCCATCGGTTTTGACAAGGGCAAGGTGTCCAGGCTCGGTGTGCTCCCGCGCTACGCGACGGATGACGAGCAGATTCAGTGGTTTGAGCTCCCGGAGTCGTTCTCTTTTCACTACTGGACCGCCTGGGAAGAAGGTGATGAGATCGTTCTGACGGGATCCATTCTAGTCCCTGCTGAAAAGTTCTTCACCACTCAGAGACTGGATCTCAGGTACGAGCTGACTGAAATTCGGCTCAACCGAGCCACTGGTGTGGCTTCTAAACGGGCGCTGGTTCCGGAATTGAACCTCGAGTCCGGTCAGATCAATCAGAGATTCTACGGGAGGAAATGCCGATATGTGTACTTCGGTCTGCTGGAGGCGCTGCCGACATGGGTTCGGTTGACAGGAGTCGCCAAAATTGATCTTGAGGCAGCTATGGAGAATTCAGTGGATTCCTCATCGGGACCTGTCGTGGGCATCAGGGATTTCATCCAGGAGGGCTGCCTGGGTAGTGAACCATTTTTCGTGCCACGAACTGCTGATCCGGATGCCGCTGAAGACGATGGGTATCTCGTGACTTACGTGCATCATGAGGCCACGGGTCTATCTGAGCTCTTGATTCTGGATGCTCGCTCTCCCACACTCGAGACTGTTGCATCCGTGAAGCTCCCAGCGAGAGTTCCTTACGGCCTTCACGGAATCTTCGTTAGTGAGGAAACTCTTTCGAAGCAGGAATACTAGCTGCAGTAGACACAAGGTTGCCAATGTCGAGCCTCAGGTGTACGATGTAATAAGCAGGTTCGATCGATATTCACTTTATACTAAGCGTCCATGGAAATTACTACAAGGGCTCCTTGATATCCACTCTCTATAGCAGCGAGTGTTGTTCCGTGCCCACTATCGAATTAGCTTATGTTTCCTGTAGTAGTTCTTGCGTCAGGAAACTAAATGAGATGAGAGCAGTAGATGTACAGAGTGCCACGGAGATGCCAAAAACAATAATTTTCCTTCTGCTCGATCTCCAGAAACTATATATTTGTCAGATCCTCGTTTGAGATGCAATTGTACATTCACATGGAGAACTTAATTTTTTTCTCCCGAGCCAAACACTTCCACCTAACCTTTGTGCACTTCTCTGGTTCTTGCTCGCGTCTCATTAATTATGAATGTATTACACGTGATGAGCAGTTTTCTTCATCTCTCTTGCAGCACTTTCCAGATGTGACAGTCCACATCAGCTGCTTATCAGAAACTTGTAGATCAAGATTTGTATCATTATTTCGAAAAGGCTGGACATTCGCTTAATGTTCTATGTGAATATGGTGAATTTGATATGGGTACTGTTGAGTGTGAATAAACTCATGATGGAATTCGTCCGCGAAGATACATTGTGGAGGAAGATAAATTTCATTCTCAATCTGATTCGCATGAGTAAGATTCAAAGCACAAACGAGACCATCTCTGGAATTCTAGAAAAACAAATTGGAGGTGCAATTTCTTTCATTTTAATAACCTAGGCGGCGCAAAGTTCTCACCAGTGCAAATCTGGATTACCAAAGATCGATACAAGATTCATGAGTTCAGTAGCAGCAAGTTCTTATGTTAAATCAAAATATAACAAAAGATGATAAAACTTGGCCCTAATACCAACAAAAAAAACTGCATAACGTCTGACCCGTAATCCAAGCAAACTACGTGTTAGTCTGTCAGAAGCGCTGGATGGACATATTATCTGGATAAGTCTCAACCCTTACTGTGACAAGGTTTTATTGAGATGTTCATACTGAACGCCGTCTTAAACTTCATTCCATACAATCATAAACATGAAAAGCGCAGAATCAGAGGTGTGACTTTAGTGTATGTCTCCTTGCTTCGGAAGCTTCGGCTAACATTGCATCTCGTCGTTGCACACTTCTGCCGGTGCTTTATTAAGACTAAGGACCTGTTGTAAAGACCTTCTCTACTTTATTCGGGTCCTTCATTACAAGGTCCACGCTCGCACGTACTAAATGTCATAAGTTTAGGTGCTTATCCTGGGCCACAACAGGTGACTTTTCTGCTAGCTTTAATTCAACTCTCGGTATCTTGCATTCAGTACTTTAGACCGGTACATGCAGTTCATGATTGAGAGGAAGCTTGCTTTGATAGGCGGTACTTGTTATATATAGTTAGGATCTATGCTCACGAGTTCTACACATGGAACATTTTGCAATTTCCTCGAGAGGAACAGAGTACTAGATTTCTCGGATTTCTTTAGTTTCCTCCAGATGTTGGCATTTGTTTGTATTGTCTTCGATGGCATTATAATGGCAATTTTATTCCACGTGTACTGCCTGGTCTTACACCATATACCATTCCAGTGTTTCCCAAGTAGCATACCTGCTTACGGTGTCTCTGTCGTCGGAAGAAAGTCAAAAAATTTCAGATAGCAGGAGTTTGTGTCATGTGTGACAACTAGTACCCTATAACATACTGTACTGCAGATTTGAGGATCTGGTGGCAGCTGGATACGTGCTTTCTGTGATGCGGTGACGGTCGACTGCGCCGCTGTCGCTACAACTCGCAAAGGTCAAGGCTGGAGAGTTGCAACGTTGTCACACAAGCATATCATAGCCCGGTGTTCATCACGACAGAGCGATCCATCGAGACCTAATGGAAGAGTTTTGGCAGATGTAGGTGACCACCTACGGCTGAGCCCGCGGCGCTGGAAAATTACATTTACAACCAGTCATGAGTTTGAGTTTTCTACACAGCTTATATCTCCGAAGTGACCCCTCTTTTCACTTGATTGCGCTAGTCATGGATCAATCATTCGTACGCCACTACCTGTGACACGTCTCTTGCAGCTGGTCGAGACCTTGTTCGGCCGGTACATGGCGGCCTTAGCTTGGGTTGTGGCGGACTGGTTAGCTGCCAAATTTCTCTAATCGGTCATGGTTTTTCAAAGAAGGTCAACAGCTAGATGACCGAAACGAAAATTTTAACAGTAGAATGAATTTGTCTGAGAGCTCTCTCAGACAAATCTGCACTGTGCAAATTGCTTTTTGCAATGATCTGTCTCCACCTGCAAACTCAACTCTCCTCGAACAACAGGATATGTGAAGACAGTCTTTGAAAATCTTGTATGCTGTTGATCGATCATTCATTTGATTCCCGCGCTTCGAATGTGAATTTTCTTCTCGCATTCAAAAACTGGGGAGTTCAGACCTTTTGTGGAGTATGATTAAACAGTTTCTGTTCTTCTCTGATGCAGGAAGGAAGATTATAAGCATTTTTTGAGTTGACTTTGCAATTTCCAGATACTAGAATTTTCAGACCTTTCTTTTCGGTGGATGGGTCAGAATTTAATCAAGAGCTCAAGATCTTCTCGGAAGTAGGGGACCTGCCTAGATTGTGGATATGGCCCTCATATTAAAGACACGAACCAAGTGGATCCAGATCTGTGGACCCATAAGTCCCTCAAACTTTTGACAGGGCAATGTTGGAATTTATATCTACAACTCGAGCAAACTCACAAGTTCCCTAGAGTTGACCTGGTCATTAGATAAGGTCACCATGTCCTCCACTGAATGGCCGTTTCTTAGTCAACCCTGAACACTGCTCAGACTGAAACGTAGTCAAAACCCGATTAGAGACTAAAAACGTGGCATTGTTTGCGCTTAATCTTATGTGCATGGCGGGCTATTTCACCCGGACTGGATAATCATCCACCAAAATGTTTGTTGGAAGTGACTGCATGCGCTCAGAAGTCACGTGGTATATCGCAGACATACCCGGTGCCGACTTCAACATTCGACTGGCTCTTTCACAATCTGTCTTGTTCGCATCACGATATACATTCGTAAAAAGAAACGCTGGACACTCTCACAGGTCTACGGCAGAGATGGGTGGAACAACGAGTACCCTAGATTACATGAACTCTATCACTGATTGAATTCGTTCATCGGCAGTGTCAGCCCTTCCCAAACCCAGCAATATCAGCGGGACGGTGTCAACGTTGCTTTACATTCAGGGAATATATCATTGTCTTTTCTGCGGTTCTGAGACACATTGGGACAAGAGAGTTGGGACTTGCACATGACCTATATCTTGACTTAAATGATGTTTACCTTGAACCATCTTTATGTTCATTGCAATATATCGTCCTCATTTTCAGAGCAAGTTACGCAGGGATAATAAAATCTTTTCCTCGACAGCAAGAGCAACAGGAACAGTTCTCAGAGAATCGTTAGCTGCAATAACCACTATTATATGAGTACCTGAAGAAACTTGCCCTTAGGATCCGGAATATTATTTTTTATAATTTTTTGGAGTACTATGATATCCAGCACACCTTGCTCAGACTCCTCGCCAGCGCAATAGTCCCGGTTTGTCCACATGGAAACTCGTCGCCTTGTATGGGACTTCGTAATTTTTTCAGAAATGACTTAAGCTGAGCCAACAAACACAGAACTCCTGCCTCGCCTGAATAGGAGCAAATTCATGACAATAATAGATGCTCAATGAAGAGAATACGCCTGCTGCTTGAGTGCGAGTTTCTGAGGCAACGCTGTGGAAAATGAACCTACTACAAGCATAATAGCGGACTGTACAAAAGGCGAGGAAGTCCGAGAAGTTTGTCTTGAATGATTTAACACGGCGAGTTATCGTGGGCAGATGAAGTAACGATGTGGGAAAGAAATAATTTATCTTCCCACGAGAACTGGGTGTACATGGAAAGTAGATAAATATTATTGTAAAAGTCTAGGCTGGACAAGTTTCGTACAAAGAGTAGCTTTCTTTTCAGGAATTGGAAGGGAATCTTTAGAGGATAAGCTCACTAGGTTTGCAGCGGAAAGAGGGAGACAACCCTAAAACATACCTCGAAATAGACCAAACAAGAGGCAATGAGTGATGGACATCATAGAGGACAAGCGAAGAAAAGTTTTCGCCGTCAAAAGCACCTACGGCTGAGCATTATTTGCAGACGGTGTACAAGACATCCTGAGCATAAGGGAAAGGAGGGAACAGAGTGACCAGAAGCTGAGAACCATGACAAAAAAATTCAGTCGGAGTTATGAAGACGGAAGGAGCAATAGGTCAGTTTCTAGGAGACCGAAGGCCGGAAACGACATGCTACTATCGAGAAGACCAGTCTAAACAGACACAGACTATGCGTTCAGAAAATAACATACTTCTTTGAAGTACATGACGAAAGCGAAAGGTGAAGACTGAAGGGGATTGTCCTTTATGTGTCGACCTATTCTACACTAGAAACGTAGGTTGTACGTATGTTAAACCCATAACCTCGCCTTCATACGAAATGCAAGAAGATAGTTCCTTCCAGACGTAGTGAAAGTCGCAAGGTGCTCTCAGACCTCATATGATGTTGAAGAGGACTGAACTCCAGAAGAGATAGCCAGTCCTAATTTTGGGCAAACCATGTAAACGCAGACAGTTAACATCATAAGAGCTATCACCTCGTTCGATTTGTGGTTTTCGGAACCTCAGTTTCCGGTGCGAAGAATCAGAAGTAATTGCTCATCAGAAGTGCGAAAGCAGTAATACAACCGCAGACTGATATAGACAGGACACAAGGCATATCCGATAAGTGAGGTCTAGGTAGAGTTTGGAAGGGTTGATGTCAGAGACTCTCAATTGTCATGTGAAGGACCCCACCCACTTCAGTGTTTAAAGGCAATCTTCAACCATGAACGACTTAAACGAGGTCAGTGATTCCTCATATACTGATGGTGAACAAGGAAAGGAAGAATTATCCCTGTCCAAGTCGCCAGCATCCATCATTCTGAGCAGAGCCACCTGCGTTAGTTAAAACTGCGGAAAAGCCCTAGGCCCACCAGCTCAGACAGCGGTCTGACGATTGTGCTTTCGGAAGAGTGGGATGGGCTCAGACATAAAGTCACGACACGGGGAAGTACTATTAAAATCGTAGCTCTGATGGAGTCCGGCTTAGCACCGCATTAATGTTCGACGGATGAATCACAACATAAACAAGTGGGGAGGTGGCACTTACAAGATGAGTATTCCAGAATGGAGAACCTCCATTGCAATAACCATCCTGATCGTGTGCCGCACCGTGTAGCCATTGTAAAATGAATCACTTTATAACCTCCAACGAGAGAAATCCCGCAGGGCAATGTCAATAGTGGAACACATATCTCAGGGTTTCAGATCCTGATCTGAATATGAGAGGCAACAGCGTCCTCAATACTACGTTACAAACGTCTCGCATCGAATGTTTCACGACCCTCTTGAATCAGCCCCCAGCGGCAGGTGACTTTTGTCCAGATTAAAAATGTACAAATCGTTCTACCGACGGTGGCAAGCCGCTATGACCATCGCCGTCAACATTCACTTCGGAGCTCTAGTCTATGCACAAGCGCATGCACTCCAGACGATGCTGTAGTTCCAGAACTCTTGCAGCTTCGGGAGAAAAAGGGGCGCGCAGCTCTCGACAAGCCACCTCGGTCCTGCACGAATCCCTAGAAGCCTGACCATGTAAATTGCAAAGCCTGCAGAGCAGAAACGAGGCTGGATCCGTCGTGTCTGCACGACATTGCTCTGCTAATAGCTATCCTGTTGCCAGTGCCCCTGTGCGAACCAGGGCGCGATTGGAAAGAAGACCTCCCGATCTGAACAAAGAACCTTCGTCGTCCCAAGGGAAGCTCAATTCTCCACAGACGTGCAATCGAACTCCCTAGGGTTCACTCCACTGACCGACGCATCTCTGCGCGAAGAATAAATGAGGGAAGGATGGGATGAATTTCTCGGGAACTAGATATATTACAATACGTGCACTCCGAGCTCCGGCAGCAAAATGAGCTCGACACGTGCAGTACCAGCGCTACATATTGCCTCAGACGAGAAGGTAGAACACGGCTTGCGCCACGAGGAGGGCAGACAGCAGCCGACCGCACACGACGGACACGCGGTCGGAGCTGTTGGGATTGCGGTAGGGAGGGGGATAGTTGTAGTAAGGATCGAAAGGAGGAGTGTAGACGATGGGAGGGGGAGGACCCATGCGGCGCGGAGGAGAGTAAGGAGACGGCGCCATGGGCGCGAAGGGCGCAATGCCCATGGGAGGGGGCGGAGCTCCGACGACGTAGGGAGGGAGCCCGGGGCCCATGGCTGCCACCGGAGGGGGAGGAACAGTCGGGACGACGTAGGGAGGCAGGCCCGGAGCCAGAGCGGCGGCGGGGGGAGGAGGGGGAGCGGTCGGAAGGGGCGCCACGGGGGAGAGCGGGCCGCCCAAGATGCCGACGTCGTAAACCGGCACGCCGGTCGGATAGAAGAGGCCGAAGTTGCGCTCCGACGCCGGCCCGGCCTTGAGGTTCTCGTTGTACAGGGCGAAGATGTAGGTGTCGATGACGGCGCCGGGGCGGAGCGGGGTGCCGACGCCGGTGCCGATGTGGCGGATGAGGTTGCGGTTGAAGGTCTGCGCGTCGGCCATGCTGGGCCCGAACTCGTAGGGGTCGCCGGCGGACGGCCACCCGGTTTCAGTCACGGCGATGCTCACGTTCTTGAACCCGAGCTTCTCCATGGCCCAGAACACGGCGTCGCACTGCGCGTCGAACATGTTGGAGTACGTCAGGCCGGAGACCGGGTCGAACCGCGTCTCGCTGGCGTCGGCCGGCTGGAAAAGCACGAAGTTGAGTGACGTATTCTTCGGGTTTCCGGTGTAGGCGAAGTACGGGTACGCGTTGATCATGAAGGGCGAGCCGGTGCGGGCCAGAAATGCGAACACCGGCGCCAGAATGCTCGCCTCCCACGCCTTGAAGGTCGAGTTCGACGGCGGCTCCGAGTCGTCCATGATGCCCAGCGAGCTCGCCGTCGACAGCTTCACTCTGCCGTCGAGCCCCAGCGTGACGAGCGCGGCGTGCAGATTCTCCAGCGCCGGCAGCAGCAGCGGCGCCACGTCCGCCGCGTAGGCCAGCACCTCGTTGCCCAGCGAGACCGCGGTGATGGCGGTCGTCGGGTATGCGGCGATGTTGGTCTGCGCCCACTGCAGCGCGTAGCCCGGCTGGTTCGCCAGCAGCGGGATCTGGTCGTTTCCTGCCCCGATGACGATGTCGATCCCGGAGCCGCCGAATGCCTGCAGGATTGCAGGATTCGAGTCGAAGATCTTCACCTTGTCGATGATCGTCGTCTTCAGCAGCGCTACCACCGCCTCCGGCGCCGGGAGGTCGTTCGCGATGGTTCCATAATTCACTCCGATTCCAGCGCTCGCATCTGCAGGCCACGATCCGAGCAATGTGTGTCATGTTAGCCTGGCCCGACGAGGCAGCTGCCAATGCTTCCTTCTTCTCGCACCTCTGGCTCATGCCGTTCTATGGAGCTCGGGGCCAAAACCGGAACCGGCATTCATTCGGACCCTCCGCTGCGAAAGTTCATGCCCGTGCTGCGAAAGAGCTCGAAGCAGCCGAGATCGCGCTAGCTTGCACGATCGCACCACGGGTTCGAGGAACCATACAGAACGACGAGACCATGCTAACAGCCAGATCTAGTGCACAAGATATACCTTCGAGGACACCATCCGCCATCACCCAGTGAAGCTCTAGCTGTTGCTTTGCGAGTGGCTTGCTCCCTGTGTCCGGCCGGCGGTACATTCTTATCCACAGTCGAGACTAGACTGATCCTCCCAGTGAAGACTCGGAAAGCGGGGAAATGCAAAACAACATGGACTGCAACAAATCTCGCGTCGTCTGATTTAAGGGCGGACATGGGAAGGAGCAAGCATCGGATCAGAACTCTATCCTCGCTGGCAGATCCCTCCCATCCCCTCCTAGGTCAATCGAGGCTTCTTGCACAGTCCATCCAAGATGCGGGAAACCGTGGCCATAATAAGGCGAAGAGAGCAGGGCACTTTGAGGCGAGTTCGCCATCTTCGGACGAAAGCATCGTAGATCTCAGTGGGCAGACTGTTCCAGATTAAGAACTGAAGCTTCAGGACATTGCTGCCCATGGGCGCTCAGATGCCGTGAGTGCGTGCAGCTGATCTCGGAAGGGAGAATGCAATCTTCTGTGTCTACTTCAGCGATTTTGTCCAGCTATGGTTTCAGCTCGCAGGGTACAGGGTTTAAGGTCGAAACGAACACTACCTCTGTGCCTCGGACACGATGACAACTTTAAATGTTCGCTCAGTTCAAGAACGAATGCAGCAGCAGGTTGGAAAGGTCAGTTCGGGGCAATGATTTCAATGTCGTTACTGACTCAGCTCAGATGGGGCGAGGGCGACAGGCACACTTACCAGAAACCAGCGCGATCGCAACGAACAGGGCGACGGCAGCCTGAGCGGAGCGAGTCATCAGCACCATCTCTCCTCCTGCTCCTGCCCTCTTCAGTTGCTGCACCGCTCCAGACGAAGAGAATGCCGCGCTCAGTCCATAGAACTTGTTGCCAACATCGTTCGTTCCTTCCCTCCTTCCTGCCTTCCTTCTCAGTGCTGTACTTGCTCTCTGCTCTGCTGCTTCTGCTGCTGCGGCTCTCGGCCCTCGCTCTATGCGCAGCTGTCCAGTCGTTTTCCTGTACTTGTAATCTCTTGACCAGCTGTCTCGAACTACACTACACCAGCTGCCGAATGCCAGCCAGCTGCGGAAATCGGATGATCGAAGAGAGGCTCATCAGATGACCCCCACTTCCCCCTCCCCTAGTGCTTCCGCTTCCTCTGGTTCTGTTCTTTTCCACTGGATCAACTGCTCCGGCAAGAGATTGCTGTCAGATTGTACATGTCGGTCTGTCGGCGCAGAGCTACGAAGAAGCTTACTCGTAGATCCACGCCCATCGAACAACCTTTCACTCCACTCTTTGTCTCGTCCTCTCCCTCGTCCCCTCAGGCTGCCAGCAACGATTAACGGTCACTTGCCCTTTTCTCCGTCAACGTTGCTTCCCGTTTCTCTCTCTCTCGCTCTCCCTCACCGGCAATCGGTTGGGAACAGTGGACTCAGTAAATACCCACCTACGACAGTACACCAGCAAAACCATGAATCTCCAAATGAGTCCAATGATCCTTCTCCCCCCTCCCCTGCTTTCGAACTCTGCTGCCCCTCTCTCCGTCCCTTCCGGAAATCTGCTGCACGGAGATCTGCGGCCTCTTTCCAACGGTCACTGGTGCCATAACTTCGGGCCGTCGGGCTTCTCTGCTGCACCCACCCGGCCCATTCTGTCACTGGCGATCAGAGTCGCAAGGGGGAAGGAGAGAGCGAGCGTATTACCGAATCAGAGTGTCGCCTGTGAGCCTGTCCGTCAAATCCCCACTCTGTTTTCGGGTTGTGAGAAACCATGTACGTGGTCATGGTGCCAGCAACTCGGTGGGGGTGTCCCTTTGGAGATCCATTCACATGGCACTCTGGCGGGTTTGGAGTGTGACTTTTCGCTCCGACTGCGACTTTCAGATGGTGGACGAGGTGTGCACAGCGTGGTTCAGAAATCAGAGATGGGACAGGCCGTCAGAGTTTGTATCAGAGTCGGTGTTTATCTGAGGGACTCGGCCTTAATAAACCTCTAATATGGCGAAAAGTCGCAGAGCACGCAGAGGGGCGGACTTTTCTCTTTTGCAGTCCCTGCTGGTGCTGGTGGTGCTACTGCAAAAGTACGATATGTACTTTCGCTGCTCTCGCTTGACCTTGGCCGTCCTCTTCTGTGGCAACATCAGCCTTACTGATCTGATACTCCCCACATGGAAGAGCTGTGCAGAGCAAAAGAATAATGTGGTGGTAATCAGTACATTATGAAAACAATCTTACCTGCGCATGAACTTCATGGGGACAAGCGTCCTCCAGGGCTAGTCTCCCGTAATCTCGCCGCATTGCTGTTCTTCCTTTCCAGAATGTAACCACGAAAATATGTTACGCCATGTACAATGAAGTGAGCTCTCGGTCTTCGATTGTCGGTCCCCTAAATACCTCGTCGTGAAGTCGAAATACCTAGACTGAAAGCAAGTAGTTGATAATATCATCTCACACGTGACACTCATCTCGAAAAGTACGTGAAAGGTTAAAAGTGTTGTGAAACACGAAGCTCACTCTATCCTCTATTGTAGTCTGCTCAAACCTGCAGTCGAAGATATCGAGAAACATTTACCTCACGATCCAGAACATAAAGTCTTTGTGTCTTTGACCTGGGCTGTATGGAAGTCAGAGGGCCGGGGGCCCACGTACAGTACTGGGGAGAAACTGAATGATACAAATGCCATAGCAAAATATATCCATATTGCATGATGCCAAGTAGAGTCTAACAAGTCTACACACTAAACTAAAGCCACCCGGACCTTATGCCTCCGGGCTGACGGCCGGGGCCCTCATACGAACACCACCGTTACACACCGTTCGGGCGGACGAACCGCTAAGTAGGGGGAAAAGAGTTGGTGTGGAATGGAGTACATGGCAGCTATTACCTTAGGGTTACTCACGGCTCGACTAAAGGGTGGCCGGCTAATTTTTTTGTTAGCCAGTTATAGAGCCGGCTACCCGTGGACTTACCGGCTAGCCGGAACGCTATCCGAGTCCGAAAACTCGGACCGACTCTGCGTTTTCGGGCCGATTATTTCGGCTGAATATCCGAAATCATCCCCCAGCCCTTCTTTCGACCAAATATGTTTTGAGAAATATATTTATAAATCAAACCTTTTGGATTCTAATCCGGTTTAGAAACTGAATTTCATGTGTTAAATTTTGAAGTCTCGGAAATGCGTTTTCGGCCGGTAGCCGGCTAGCCCTTTGTATTGGCTAGCCGAAGATTGTACGGCTACGTGACCATGCCTATCTTAACTCTTGTCTTTCTCGCATCTTCTCTCTCTAGTCTTCGATTCGAACCCTGGTTCTTCTTGATGTCCCATTTTTTCTCTTGGTTTTAAGAGCCAATTGAGCGAAAAAATTGAAGATTTCAACGTTGCAGCATGCTGAGCAAGTATGAGCGATTTCGGAGGCCATCCATATTGTCTTTGATGTGAATTGTGATGGTGAATTGCTCCGGCCCTTCACGATCTTTTATCAACATTCTGAGATCGGAAGCTTTATAAGTAAGGTGAAGTTAAAGCAGACCAATGATTTGTGAAATACATAACTACTTGTATGAAAAAACCCAAGAATACTTCTCTTTTGCTTTGATGAATACTATTATCATTAAGGAGAAATACTATCCATTTCTTACGCTGGTGAATTATTATTAGTTTTGTGAGCATGCAACCCAATCAACCTTATTGGATAGATCATATTGTGTGGCCTCGGAGGGGTGAGATTTGACATGTTCCTTCCTAAACTACATGAATTAGTCGTCAAGACCGAAGGAAACTGTTGCTGCTTTGGGACTTCATACTAATCAATGCACAATTTTTTATTTGGCTTCGTAACTCTTGAATACATGTTCGTTTTAGGAACTCCTTTAGATTTGCAATTGATGTTCTCGAGAAAGAGTAGAAGGTCAGATATCAAGGCTTTGTTTATATCTCAGCGTAAATTGCAATTCACAAACTGATAGAATGAGAACATACCCATAGAAACAAGCCTAGGTCCAAATTTCAAAACACTTGTCGATAAAGTGATTGACATCAAGCATACCAAAACTAAAGAGAGCTGCATGCGATAATTACAAAAAAAGAAGTTTTTAGTCTTTCATTTAAGCTGAAATTTATAAACCTATAGTTGTATGTGTGAGTTATTTTTAACGGTGAACAAAGAGTTGACCGTGATTACTTTTATTATGACTAATTCTAACTATGAAAGTCTACATTTGGCGAAATAATTATGATACTTTAGAAAGTATAAATCAACATTATTATTTCGTTTGCTATCAAAATCTAAATTCTAGAAAGAGAGTACTTTGATTAGAAATTAATTTTTATTACTTTGACTAAGTAATAAAATGTTCATCGCTAAAAATAAGTGTAATTTTAATTTAGTGACAAATGTAATTTAAAAAGTTTGAAGATCAGGGATGACAACATGCCATTGAAGAATGATATGCTATCACCTCAACCTAGGGGCAAAAAAATTTCTAGAATATTTAGTTATGTCAATGTCATCTTATCATGTAATGAAAATTATTCATCATATTTATCTTAGTATAATAAATTAGATGGTAAGTATTAAATGCTACTATAATAAATATTTATATGTAATTTCAAGTAACATATAAATAAAGATAAAAAATAGATACCAAGCAAGTTTGGACATTTAATTATGTAAAAAAAAATTTAATCAATAGACGTTGAGTTTCATTATCAATTTATAGTATCTATGAGTAATTGAATTTTAATGATGAATGAAAAGATTATGTAAGAGTTTCATTATCAATTTATAGTATCGATGAGTAATTGAATTTTAATGATGAATGAAAAGATTATGTAAGAGTTTCATTATCAATTTATAGTATCGATGAGTAATTGAATTTTAATGATGAATGAAAAGATTATGTAAGAGTTTCATTATCAATTTATAGTATCGATGAGTAATTGAATTTTAATGATGAATGAAAAGATTATGTAAGAGAATGTTTAAAACACGAGCATGTTGAGTAGTCTTTGTATTTTAGAACTATGACGAGTTTTCATAAATTCATCTAACGTTAACTTTAGTGAAAGTCGTCCCAAATATCACATGTTTGTCTTCATTGTACTACACGTAAATTACAATTGTCAATAGAAAAACACAGTTTGCTAAAATTCTAAACTTTTTCATTACAAATAATAGGCTTACGTCTTTGTTTCGTTTTGAATATCCCTCTAGACCACTTTTCTAGTGGAAATTATATAGGATAACACATCAACATATCTACCAATGGCCCTTCATTTCTGGATAAGCATATACAAGCTTTAATATCATCACGACTCGAGTCAATAGTAGGTGACCTGAATCAAAAACTGTTGATCGAGTCTGAGGGATTCCCGTGAGTATATGTACACACTTGTCTTCGTCCAGATAGAAATAATTTCTCTCATATCTGCGAAACAATATGCTCTTCCGCATACTAGAGCAAAATTTATGTCAATTTTGAGAGTTTTAAATTCTCAAGTTTCCACTTAGTCTAGCATATGATGCTTGAAGACTCCATTCATTGATACTTTACGCTCCACTTCACCCCTGCATTTTCGGAGCGAGTATGGATTTCACTAGTTTGTGTTAACATTGATCTTAGAATAGGCACTACAGTAATTCGGCACCTGGATAGCAATATCCGGCGCTAGATAAATTTGCAAATCTGATCCTTTGTGAGAGAAGAGTGATGGAAGGTTTCAGGTTAGCAGCTTATTGGCAGCAATAGAGTATCCATCTTTCCGCATTACATAACTTATGTACTACTGATGGTGGCACAATCGAAAGTTGTTCAGAATAATTTGTTCTGATATCACGGCATCATCTTTGGAAGTGTGCCTTGCTGTTGTAATGCTTACAGGTAGCCGCAGAAGCTAATTTGTTCAAGTTTCTCATGAGATCTTAGTTCGAATGAACTCACATCCAAATTCTTTCTCATACAAATACGAAGATTTAAAATCGTTAATCCACAGACGTCGTTATTGGGCATGAAAGTGCTGACAATCTGATGGTTTGAAAAGCTGGAACAAGTTCAAGATGGACTAACTTCGAGACAGTTTCACATTCTAAGTGGTGTTTTTGTTGAATCAACCAGGTTTACTTCAGCAGAAAACTTACTTTTGTATACACAAGGTTGAGCGTTCAGTGAACTTATAAATCAAATTCATTTTAAGAGAGGTTTTACTCGCAATGATTGAGCGATGAAAGGAAAAATTTAGGACATGGATATCTTAGATTTCTTCCATACTTTTCAACATGTACGCTACTATGAACATATTATCCCATCCTAGCGCAAGTAGTACTAAGTGGCACACAGAAATCCAATGACAACACTCGCCTTAGACAAGTGAGGCATAAGCAACATTTGAAGCACGTATCAAAGAGCATGTTGATCATGTCAAGTTCGAAGGGCGAGGTGAGAAGGTCACCACTGGTGTCCAAAAGCATGATTCTCAGTAACGAGGGAGTCCAGGTGATGAATATATTTGAGAGTTCCGTCGAACGAAGGCTCTTCAAGTGTATTATTCTTCTGCGCTCGCGCCGAAGAATAATACACAAACCACCTGATCTAGCCATCGCCATCTACAAAAATATCGCCTAGAGATTATAGAGAACATGAAGATTTTGTCTTCTTCCCGCCAAGAAATTTGATGCCAAAGGATTATCGGGACTGGAGCCATGAGCAATCTTGTTGGGACTCGAGCAGCAAAAGTGTGCACGAATGGAAGAATTCAATTTAAGAAAGGTTACGAAGTAAGAAACTCCTGGTAAGAGGTCCAACTTAGAGAGAAATTTAAAGAGTTGTACTGGAGATGGAGTGCTGTCAAACATTGATGCAACAAAGTTAACTATATAGTGCAAATTTTTTCTCAAGTGTTGGTAATATCGGTGTGATGCATTCGAAATGGATGAGTTAGGCCTCCTAAGGTGAAGTGCCGATGCAACTGGCAACTCAACATACATCAATTAGATATCAAGCATCAGTATACACATTGTCAAACGGTATATTGGGTGGTATCACAACCATCCCGACAATTGTCGGTTAGATTACTCTTCTACTGGAT